GGGGTGTTCGTGCCTGAAGGGGTGTTGGTGCCTGAGGGGGTGTTGGTGCCTGAGGGGGTGTCAGTGCCTGAGGGGGTGTTGGTTCCTGAGGGAGTGTTGGTGCCTGAGGGGGTGTCAGTGCCTGAGGGGGTGTTGGTTCCTGAGGGGGTGTTCGTGCCCGAGGGAGTGTTCGTGCCTGAGGGAGTCGAAGTGCTAGAGGGGGTGTCGGTGCCGGAGGGGGTACCCGTTGCCGAGGGGGTATCCGTTCCTGAGGGGGTGTCAGTGCCAGAGGGGGTGTTCGTTCCCGAGGGGGTGTTTGTTCCAGAGGGGGTGTCGGTGCCAGAGGGGGTCGAAGTGCCAGATGGGGCGCTGGTTCCTGAGGGGGTGTTCGTTCCCGAGGGGGTCGAAGTGCTAGAGGGAGTGTTCGTTCCTGAGGGGGTGTTGGTGCCGGAGGGGGTCGAAGTGCTGGAAGGGGTGTTGGTTCCTGCGGGGGTGTCGGTGCCTGAGGGGGTCTTCGTTCCGGAGGGGGTGTTAGTGCTTGAAGGGGTGTCAGTGCTGGAAGGGGTTGAAGTGCTAGAGGGGGTGTTTGTTCCTGAGGGGGTGTTCGTCCCTGAGGGGGTGTTAGTGCCCGCGGGGGTGTTGGTTCCCGAGGGGGTGTTCGTCCCTGAGGGGGTGTTGGTGCTGGAAGGGGTTGAAGTGCTAGAGGGGGTGTTGGTTCCTGAGGGGGTGTTCGTTCCTGTGGGGGTGTCGGTGCTGGAGGGGGTTGAAGTGCTAGAGGGGGTCTTGGTTTCTGAGGGGGTGTTCGTCCCTGAGGGGGTGTCAGTGCCCGTGGGGGTGTTTGTTCCTGAGGGGCTGTTCGTTCCCGAGGGGGTGTTCGTCCCTGAGGGGGTGTCGGTGGCAGTGGGAGTCGAAGTCGGGGCGTTCGTGGGCTCCCCCCCGGGAGTCGACGGTACGCTGTTCAAGGGGGCGGGGGCGCCTGTGGGGGAGCCGGAAGGAGCCGCGCTGGGACCCCCCGGGGCGGGGGCGGGGCCGTTGCTCGCCATTGTGGGGGGAAGGGCGTATCCGGGCATGGAGAATGGCGCGGGGCCGTCAGCGGGGGTGTGGGTATTGTTGGCATCCAGGCACGGCTGGGGGCGGTCGGTGCCGACGGGCGACGGGGCAACAGCTGGCGCGTTCCCGGGGCTGCCAGCTGGCACGTCGGTGGGGCTGCCGCTTGGCGTGTCAGTGGGGGTGCCAGTTGGCGCGTCGGTGGGGCTGCCAGTTGGCGCGTCGGTGGGGCTGCCGCTTGGCGCGTTGGTGGGGCTGCCAGATGGCGCGCTGCCGGGGGCTTCGCCGGGGGTGTCGACGGGGGAGACGACGCCCTTGGTGGGGCGGGGGGGAGGGGGGTTGGGGACGCGGGTCGGGGGCTGGTAGCCAGGAGCTGCAGAATTCGACAATCTCAGGTCAGCAGTTTGCTTCGACAAATCAAGCAGATGGAAGGTGCTGTGTTCCGGTTAGCCCGGCAGAACAGAAGTTGTTGTTTGTAATCGGGTCAATCTGCAGAGCGGACTCCATACGAGCAGAACTACCCTCTCTTACGTAAGCATCGCAGCGAGTCGAATCACAACTTCTGTGTGATTCGTGTGTTTATGTACGGAAAGACTGCTCCGGACTTGCACGCTCACAAAGAGTTCCATTGTTCACGCAAATTTAAGCAGCGCTTACCTGGCGCGGGAGCCTCAGTCACGGGGTTGCCCTGAGGGGTGCCGCCGGGGTTGCTGCCCCTGGGGGGCTTGGCAACGGCGCTCGGGCTGGGGAGGGGGGAAGGAGACGCCACCGCAGAGGGGGAGGGGACCGGAGAAGCCGACGGCTGAGCGGAGGGGGAGGGGACGGGAGACGAGGAAGGCTCCGCAGAGGGGGAGGGAAGCGGGATGCTGACGGCAGAGGGACGAAGATGGCTCGGCGGAGGGGAGGAACCGGGAAGCAGAAGGCAGGGGGAGGGAAGGCTCCGCGGAGGGGAGGGGACGGGGAGCTCGACGGGGAAGGGACCGGGGAAGGAGAGGGGAGGGGGACGAGGAAGGGGAGGGCTCGGGGGAGGCGGAGGGAGAGGCAGCCGGGGAACTAGAGGGGGACGGAACCGGGGAGGCGGAGGGGAGAGCCGGGGACGAAGGGGAGGGCTCGGGAGATGCGGAGGGGGAGGCGGAGGGCTGGGGGCTGGCGGCGTTGGGAACCTGGACGCCCAGGGTGCTGGGAGACCCGGGAGTGGGGGTCTCGCTGCCGCCCTCGCAGAGGGGGGAGGGGGAAGGAGAGGGAGACGGGACCGGGGAGGGAGACGGGACGGGGTCGCAAGGGGCCGGGGCGGTAGGGTTGGGGGTGGCTATTTCTGTAAAAGGGAGGGGGAAGGGTTCAGAATGCGAGAACGGGAGTGAGAAAGCAGGGAGCTGGGAAATTGCGGATACGGTCGAAGGCTGTCGAAAGGTAAGCGCAGCAGCGCCGAATAAACGAATGCAAGCGTGAGGAGGCTGACCGAAGCGCGTGTGAGAAGTGCGCACTCAACTGTTTACTCACAAAAGAGGGAACAAATCTGCCGTTATTACTAGCTGAGAAACAGTTGGCAGAAACTCGGCCCCGTTGCCCAGAGGATTCGCTGTAAGAAGCTGTGAAGTAGGAACGTACCGCAGGCGCCGTCTGTGACGTTGGTCGCGTTGGCGCATCCCGCGAAGCAGGCGTTGGAGAAGGTGATGCCCTCTGAGCACACCGGGTTGTACACGAAGGGACAGACGCAGCCTGAAGGGGGAAAGAAACGAGATTGTTTTAGTCGTGTGCCCGTCTGCTTTGGCTCTTCTTGCATGCTGGTGAGACGGGTTTCTTAATATGAGCTGCTTTTAATCGTTGTTTCAACGGTTGGAAGAGAAACGGAAGGCGGGTCACGGACGGATGGAAGCGCATTTAAAAAGTGTGTCATCGGCACAGCTACTTCTTCAGAAATTTGCAACATCGACTTCTTGAAAAATTAAATGAATTCTGCTTTGAGATCGTTCCATTCCGCGAGCTTGCTCTGCTTTCTGCCTCCTTTTCTACAACCCCTTCGGCCTTCTTGCTAGGGTACGCATAGACACTAAGAAACGAAACATGTCGTTTCAGGATAGGCTGCCACAACCAGAAATTCGCTCTTCCCCTGTTTTCAAATGTCAAGAGTTTCGAGCACTCACCGGTTGCCAAAGCGTCACCGCTGGGGACTGTTGCGTTGACGCCCAGGACGAGCGACTGGAGGACTGCCCCGAGCGTGTTTCCTGACGCTGTTCCGTTTTTGATGGCCTCCTCGATCTCAGCCAGACTGCCCTTCACGCCCGCGTTCTGGACCACACTGCAAGAGATTGCCAGACATCGTTGAGCTTCAGGACATTCTTCTTTCTCAAACACAGTGTAGTTATATTAGTGATGCAAAATTTGTTCCTTTGGTTACTGATGGTTAGAATTATTCGAATTTTCACTCGAGACACCGCAAAGAAGCAACGAGAAAACGTGTCCAGGAAAAGGATGACGAAGCGACTTCGAGTATACATTCTGTGAAGTTCAAGCGTCAATCGCGGTCTTCTGCAATCGGACGACGTCGAAGGACGTGCAAGGAAACATGCTTCGTTTGTTTGCTGTCAGCTCAGACAATCTGACTGAAAGTTCTCAAGCTTTCAGCTCGTTTTGCAAGCTTCACCGTCGCTCTCTCGACAAATCACTTTGAGGATTCTTTGAAAAGAGCATTCGTCAGCAGACAATCTTGAGGATTCTACTCCAGTTGAGGTCAAGCCACTCACATCGCAACCTGCGTGATATTGATGTCACTGACTCGCCCCACCGGGGCGGGGGCGGGGGCTCCCTTGCCGTTGTTCCCCTTGCCGTTGACTCCCGCGCCGACGGGCTTGGGCACAGGAAACGGAACCAGCCCGGCGCCGACGTTAATCACGGTAAGCTCCGAGATTTCCGCTAGGCCGTCCTTGGTAGTCGTCGGGTTCTTGATGGAACCCTTAACCGGGCCGGGAGCGGGGGCGGGGGCTTTGCCGGTCTTTGGGTGGTGAGTTTCGTTCCACTTCTTCTCGGCAGCGAGCGCGGCGGTGCGGGCCTTGGACATCAGGAACTTGCGGGACTGGCCGGAGCTCTCTTCTTCCAGTTCTGCAGGGATTAGGAGCCAGGTTAGCTAGGGTTAGGGGAGTGGATTAAGAGTGGGGTTAGCGAGGGTGTGAGCAGAGCACAGTAGACGAGGTTGATAGAGCTGGATTTGCTGAGGGGGGCGGCCATAGATGGGAGTTGAACAGTGAGGGATTAAGCACAGTAAGCACTGTCCTAGATCGGAATGAGCAGAGGCCTTGAAGAGTCTGATGAGACACGTAAAGAATAATTCCAGAAAAAAGTGCTCCGATTATGTCAAATTACATAAACTCAATTAGAACTGGGCATCAATCAGGATAGGCTAAGTGCAGGTTGAGAGACAGGAGATGCCAGATACTGTTCAGAACATGCCCTAAAAGTCTAGATAACTCCAGAACCTGAATATTCATCTGCTGTGGCGATCTCATAGGGGTGTTCAACAGAGTTTAGAGAAACACCAGCCAATGGGAAACATCATCATCTATGATCAGATCAGCAGCTGGCTGAGTGCTCACCTTGTCGGTTGGTGCCATCATCCCGTTGTATTTGGGCTGCAAAAAGTCATAGTAGTGAAACGTCAGCCCCAGCTTGACTGGCTCGTTAGCAGCTGTCATGCATTGCCCCACTTGCTTACGCTCCTGTAGGAGCTTCTGGCAGCAGCGAACCTTGATGTATGTCCTCAGAATGGCCCCCTTTGGCTTTCTTGTGATATACTGCGAAGACGGTTCCCCCAAAGCTTATGTAGAAGTGCTTTCATCTGGTTGAGAGCAATTGAGCCTTCCTGACTTTCACCCTGCTCAACCAAAACTTTCCAGATGTCTGCTAAGTGTGAAGCTATTGCTTAAAAATGTGTGATGAGTGCCCCATGCCAGTACTCCCAAGACCTGATTGTATCAATCGAAGCAAACACACTCTGCAATCGATGTAAGACCTTCTGCAGCGCATTTATCTTCTTCTAGGCAAACTAGATCAAAGGAATCCCACGATTGAGAGAAGGATGACAATGAAAGAAGCTGAATTTGACCATAGAGAGGCCTTCAATTTGGTCAGCACAATGATCGACGTTTGTATGTCAGCAACCAAGCTCCTCTCCCAAGGTTGTGACTTCTTTCTCACAGCAAGAGCTCTGAGGACCGAAACTGATTGGAAAATACCTCAGGAATACTGCCATCATGGAGCAGCTGATGTTATCCTCACTTGCAGAAGTAAAGTTCGCCAATGTGATGAGGCTGAGCAGACAGAGGATAAAGCCAGCAAAAAGGTCAGGGCTTTGCAGAGAAAGCTCAAAGCTTAGCAGGAAAGACAAAAAACAGAAGAAACAAAAGTGAAGCAGGTACAAGAACCTCACCATGCACGCTGGCTAGCGCAAAGAGCGCCAGCAGGAGCAACGCCTTGGAAGCAGTGCTGGCCCTCATCTTGACAGACAGCAAGGATCCACTCTTATATTTCTGCGCCCCAGTAAGCTTGTATGCAGATCGAGCTGATCCGAAGAAGATGTAGCACAGAGCTGAAAGAATGCTCCGTCTTCTTGGCGGGGAAGCGGGATCGGTAAGGGGCAAAGGAAGGCGAGGTACCTTCCTGTGTTCCAGCTGAGATCTGATCGGCTGCAAGAATGCTGCTTGGCAGAACCAAGTTTTGATCCTAAAGATCAGGGAAACTTCTGAAAAGCTCGCACGCTTACTGGTGACCTTCTAAGGTCTGCTCTACTCGAACTTCAGATTGACAATTGTGGAAATGCGAGCTGCTGCCGACTTAAGTAGCTCAAGCTCAAAGCAGCCCGCAGTAGCTCTCCCTGACTTGTGAATTCTTCAGGTACCTTGAGCTTGTTGGAGTCGGGTGGCAACTTCTCACTGTCAACTTCATGACTGCAGTTTGTAACCTATGCTTTTGTCAGCTTTCGCTTCTGGTCGGCTGCTGATCAGCGGGCAGTTCAAAAGACCGCGGGCTGCCCCCGCCCTTATGGCGCTCAAGCACTCATTGCCGTGACAGAAGCAGGGCCGCATTCACTCTGCATTTTTGGTCTTTGCGCAAAATGCAGCTGCCGACAAGTTGCAAGGAGCTGCCTGCGTATCTAGAACCGCAGATCGAGGGGTATGACTGCCGCGGATGCAATGCCGGCTGAACGCTGAGCCGACAACCGCAGGCCGCTGTCAACCGCTCAAGAATATTGAGGCCTTCGACGGTGAACTCGAGCAAAAGCATGCTTCAGAAGTGGTAGTTGTGTCGAATCGAAGAAGTACCCGCGCTCACTCGTAACCTCCGACTTCAACTCGCCGTCGTCCGTCAAAAGATCGAACGCTTCCGATTGGAAGTGTGACATACGGCGCCGACGTTCATGGGATCGCGCTTGAGCCTCGCAGGAATGCTATCTAGGCCGTCGATCTTGCCTCGAGGCATTCCGACATATCCCAAGCGACCAAACAGCGGAAAGTACAACGGATCAGCGGCATTTAAGTAAGCGGAACCGGAAGCATCAGGGAATCTTGAATGCAGCGCTGACCTAGATAGCCTAGTTTACATGCGAGCTCACAGCATGCAAAAATCACGTTCTCGCTGCAACCAAGAGCATTGGTAGGTATACGAAACACAATCTCAGACCCACGTGCAATGCAAAATGCACGTCGTGATCTTGTATCAGTGTGGCAACGGCGCGGCCGCCTGAATTGCTGAAGCCAATTGCAATGCATAAACAATTGAAAGTAACAAGCTGGTCTTGAGATATCGATGTATGTATTTGCAACTTATGCGCATTCATTTTTCACATGTGGCTTGAAATTCGAGGTAAGTCTTCCAACTCATGAACCGCAGAGTCCCAACACGTGTACCAAAGAAGGTTGCGCCAAGTCGGGGGTACTACTTTTTGGTCATTGGGAGTGTGAAGCAGCGCCCACTGAAGGTACTTAGGGTAAAAGATGAACTGCATGTGATTTACCTCATATCATGGCCGTTTAAGGTTCCCTAGATCTTCTAACGAACGACGGTTGTGAGTAAACGGAAACATAAATCAACGCTTTCCAGTGACCTAGGTTAATCAAGGTGTACTGATCTGTACATGGTAAACAGACTCCAGAAACAGCCCTAGTGCAAAGCGCGCAGATTAGAGGGAGATTGTTTAAGATTACTATGTAGCGTGTAGCCTGTTTGAAGTTTCTGGTGTCGTCTTTGGTGGTGTATCGCTGATAGCCACAGTAACCTGACCCGTTTGGGGGGAGCCTGAGCCGACAGGTCCTTGGCCGCCCCCCCTACTTGACCTCGGGTGTTTTTCTCTCTTCAACGACGCAGTTCTGCCCAGTCGTCTGAACGTACTTCGGAAGTCGTGCCAAGTCGGGACGTTCGATTGGAGAAGTAGAATAATAGCTACTATGATGGCGCCCCTGCAAATACGAAGGCTCCGCGTTGTACACAAGGAGATTCACTGCGACACCTTGATGAGAGGAAAGCCAATCACGGCCAGGTCTGCAGCACTAGTGCCATCCTCAGAGGCTCCCTTCCGGAATTGATCGCCAGAGGAGCCTTCAGCAAGTATGAACTTTCTGTCATCTCTATCTTCTTTACACGGAATCTTCAAATAGACTGGAGTCTTGACTGCCAATAAGTTTCCCGAATCAACAAGTAACCTTCTGCAGGGTTTTAGAAGCTTCTGATTAAACAAGAGACGGGGCAAGGGCATACAAGTCCTTGTACTAGATGCTTGCAGCTTTTACGTCCTCAAACGAAAAGCAGCGGCGCGTGCTGGGAAAAGCCAACACGGATGTTGAAATGAATAACACACGTGTCGAGAAGAATGATTCAGAAACTACTCACCAGCTAAGTAATCGCAACGTCATCGCTCCGAGCCCCGACGGCAGCCGCTCCCCCAACGCAAACATGCCTACCAAGACCCCTGTCACAATGGCCGCGACAGCAGCGCAAGTCGATACGACCACCGCTCTGCCCTCCTTGAGCCCCCTCGTCTGCACAATTCCACCGCGAGTACGTTGAGCTCAATCAAGCAAAGCGTGCCGAACGATCAATCAAGAAGACCAGACCTCTTTTGATAATGTTGAATGGAGCGTAGGAAAACCGGTTCGACCCCGAAACGGCTTTAGTCGGCTCGTCTGCTTGGCTGCCATTCATGTGAAATCACAACTCCGGATCAGACACAATCTTTCAAGCAGTAGGCTCCACCATAGTCGAACCGGTGCTCTCTTGCATCAGTGAAAAAGCCACCCACAAACATGTAGTCAAGGACAATCTCTCCTCTATGTTAAGTCGTTCGACTGTCGCTTTGCAACAACGGACGTACGCAGATCAGTCCTCACCTGGAAGTAGAATCCGCTGCTGCTAAGAGCTACGCTTGCAGCGATTCCAGCCGCGATGCAGAATGCTGGGTAGCCGTCCTGGACTAAGAGGAAGCCCGTACGACAGACGGCCGCCGAAAGACTGCACAACGCGAAAAAGAGTAGTAAGGCACTGATTGCACCTCGTGATCCGATTCAGAGTGTATGCCCTTCTCCTTGTTGACAGCGACAAACTTAACTCACTTCACAAATATGCCTTTCCTTCTGTTTCATGGTGATGACATAAACAGCATCCTTTTCTGTGGCTTTCTCAAAGTAGCAGTAATTACACTGCTACACTCAGAACTTGCAGCAAAGGCATACTCTCTGGCCCAGACACTCCTTTGATCTTAGCCTTCTGTTTACAACAGGAGAGCTGATTCGTTGGTCTATTCCTGACGTACCCGATGCAACATCTGGTCGGATCTGGAAGAACGGCCAGTGGCTCTAAATACTCACCCGAAACAAACTCCAGCCTGCGCCCCTGCCGCAACCTCGCTACCAACGTCTGGCCTCTGCTGATACAGTTGGACCTGTCAATTTAGAAGTGCAAGGACGAGCTTTTAGAGAATGAAGCTCGTGCTTCAGGGGTGGTGCTCCCTGCTTCCTGGGGTTCAGGACGCCTCGGAAAAAAACCAACAAACGACTACCAAAACCAATCAGAAATGTGACTTTGTCACATCCATTCCAGGCAAAAGGCTGCGACTTGACTACTGGTCTTAATATCATCTATACCAGTATGTCAGCCAGACGAGTCAAGGCTTGAATGCAAGGAGCATTTGGTCAAGGTTGTTCGAAGCAACCAGTCCTAATTCTGCGAAAGGCAAGAGCAGCTGCACGACAAACAAACAACTGGATAAATCTGCCTTACCCCAGGTGACATAGGCGAGCTGCCTCCTCCAGGCCGTCGGACGCTGCTTCGACTGCTCTGAGCCACCATATCAACCAAGCCCTGCAATTGTGAGGCCCTCTACCTTCTCAGTCAGAAGCAAGGACCCTTGTTGATTGGAAATGGGTAGGGTACAGATACAGTCACCTACAGCCCCACGATCTGCTGAAATTGAGGAGGCATTGTCAGCGTCATTGCGAAATGGCTACTCGTGTTGGGGGTGGGAACTTACAAGGAAGGACCCCACAAGCGCACCGAAGAGGGCTAGATGCCATAAGGAGACCTCATCCTTGGCTCCATCTTCGGCGGACACCCCAATGCCTGCAGTAATAGAGATACCGACCTTGGATTCACGATGGTTAAATGCAGAGAAAAGATGAGGTTCTTTCCTAAAGCTACTAACCAATGCCCCATCACTGCTGGCACAGTGATGACCACATTTTCATCAAGAAGATTGAAGTGTTGTTTTCCTCAAGATTGCAAACTATCACAGAGGAAGCTATCGATACAATGTTTGCGAGACATATTGTGTCGGAAAGAGTTCATTGAAGAAGGAAGCTTGGACCCTCACCGATGGTCCCCAGCGCAGCGAAGGTGACTGCTATCCAATCTTTCTTCTGCATGACCTCCTCCAAATAGAAGTGGGAAAACACAGCGAGGATAGCTAGGCCACAGCCGGACACAGGCTGGACAATGGACACCTGCAATGGAAAAGTGGTTCAAGACGGCCAGCCTGACAAGACCAGTTATTTTGACCATCTACCAGTGGGTTCATTAGTCACATCATTCTCATCATTCACAAAGGATGAAACTAAAGCTCCCAAGTAGTCCTACAATTAAGGACTAAGGTTGACCAAGACTTCTAGTTGGTGGTGGTCGTTGGTTATAAGACATCATTTTTTCCAAAAGAGATGCCTTCTCAACCTACCAAGTGTGCTTATTTCAATGCCACTACTTTGTCGTGTGACTTTGAAGTAGATTTTGAAAGGCATCATGAAAGGGGCAAAGCTCACCGGTGCTTCCGAGACTGCTTTGATCATCAGAAGCGCCCCCGAGACGTCAATAAGAAGTCCAAACGTCCATGTGGGGCTTGACAGATAAGCATACAAAACCTGGACAAAAAAACGTTGGTGCCAAATAATCAGAGCTGATTTCAGCAGATCATACGACCTGAATCATACTGCCGAAGTTCAGGCCTCCGCTGTCCTGCCTTTGGAAAAATGATGCATGTAAATGCTATTCAACGTCGCAGGGTGTACAAGGAGAGCATCGACTGCACTTCAGGATCTTGAACCTTCGGCAAGCAGAGGACAAGAGAGCAGATGGGGCACTCCAACCACGGATAATGAGTGGCGTCTCACTTTCACATCCAGCTTTAACAAGGGCAGCCCTCGTGTCCCCTTCTTCTGCAAGACTTTTCCAATGTTATTGCCTGCGGCCGCTAGCAGTGCAACCAGCACCGCTAACCAGATCATGTTGCCAAGAGCTTCAAAGGTATCTGAAAAGAGGCGTCCAGGGACTTCTAATTGGACAGAAGCGATTGATTGTTGTTCAGGGTCGGAGGTCAGATCCACATTCCACCATTACGATCCTCCCTCTGGTCGCGACTGGCAATGGAGCCTGCTATCTCTGAGTAGCTGAATCTTGGAGCCACGCATGAATTTGCGTTTTTTGCGTCACCATTTTCACCATCAGAAAGTAGTCGTGCTGCTGCTGCAGCCTGCTTGCCGGCGCCCTTCCCTCTTCTTCACTCTGGATGGATTTCAGCAAGCTTTCCAATTTTAGCTGGACGAATTCAGCCTCAAACTTTCAACCTTCAAAGATGGCCGGCTTCCGCTCTCTTTCCGGGGCGGTTCCGTCGGAATGCGGGATCCCTTCACAGTTCAGCTCAGAGTAGCTGCACTGCTGATCAACGCACTCAGAAAACGTTCTCTCTGAGAAGGAAGTTTTGAAGGTAGGTAGGCGCCAAGTACTAGTGAACCCAAAGGAGATTAGGTAGGTTGGCCGTTGGTTGCCTCCTAGTTCGTGCCTTATCTTCAAAGAGCAGGAGGCAGCCGGTTGGGTCGCTTAGACTGCGGTTAGGAGACCTTTGGGTGCCCTCCTGTAGAAACGGTGCAAGAGTCCCTTCGTATGCTGGTCGTGTCTGATGGCGATGGAGATGCCTCCAGCGTCCGGGACAATTCTGCCATTGCAGGCAGGATCGAAGCTGCTCCGGCAGTGGATATTGACTGCACTTTCAGAGAGATTGAAGGTGAGTCCTCTTGTGCAGCTTCGTGACAACATACCTGATTTATACGGATACCAATTGCATATTGGACATACTTCTCATAGCTGTGCGGAGTTTCGTGAAATCCAGGATCAGCTTGATGGAGTATATCCTGGTTCCACTAGGGTACGATGGAGCGAGTATATATGGTAATGGTTTGTAGGTTGCTGGAGTAGCAGTACCTTAGATGAGGCACCACATCAAACAGAGTACGCACTAGAGTCATCTTAGCTCTTTAAAAGAGGATTAAGCACGCCTTCCAATCTGCATGGTGGCAGATGAGAAGGCCTCGATTGCCCAATCTCTTGGTAGTCCAGGTTGTGCAGAAATGCGACCACTGATTGGTGTTTGATCTGTAGGGCCCCTCAACCCAGTACAACCAGCTGATTGGAGAGGCTGAAAAGATACGGGAGGATGTGGTGAGTTGTCACGAAACTCTGACATCGACATTTTAGGGTTTTGCAAGGGATTGTTGAGTGTGAAAATCAAGTTGCTTGTCACCAGCGTGTGCTTGCAAACTAATTGCATGTGATACCATGTGGTGCGTTGCCAGTCTGAGAGTGTTCAGCACCATCGTTTCCTGCTCCGTAACATTCTTTGAAATTCCTCATAAGATATTACATTTGAAAGTCAGCACTTGGCCAAAGACGCATCTTATTACCATCACCTATTTGCAGGCTGTCTTGAAGGTCCTGTCTCAGAGCGTGTCCCACTTGGACGAGCGTGCGCATGAGGCGCTCCTGCTGAAGGTGAGGTTTCATTGCCGACTCAAGCTTCCTCATTCCTAGGGATTGGGTTAGTCTGCGGGTGTCAGTTGATCTGGAAAGTACTTTCGGTGGACTGAAAATGTACAGGTTACAAGGTTGGGTATCGGCTGTCTGTTGGAAAAAAAAAAAGATTACTGTGTTCATTCTTCAGTAGCAGTGTGTGCTGTGCATCTGGAGTTGATATTCATCATCTCTCATCATCATCTGGAGTTGATATTCAAATCAAGGATGCAGCTAAGCTGGTTGGAAAGGACTGCAGCAATTGTACTTGTCTGACATTGCGCCTGTGCTTTTGTGAATCAGTGTCTGCAATGTTGCAAGTGGTTGTTGCCTGATCTTTTTCGTTTTGGCATCGGGCTCAAGATTCCTGTTCCTTGATGCAGGTCTTCGGGGGCAGCCTATGGATCTCAGCAGACGAGGCTAACGCAGCACTGCTGGACTTTGCGATTAATCTGGTGAGTTTCTGTTTACTTTTCTCGGAAGTGTCCCAGTGTATCGTGTCCCAGTGTATCCTCTGGCATTGTTTCATCATGCATCGAAAGGAACACACACTGTTTCATCAGAGACTCTGGGGCCTTGGTGGTTTAGAAGGCCTTCGCGGTGAACCTAAACAGACGATTGTTAGATGGTTCACCCAGCATGTGCGGAGTTCAAGGGAGATTGCATCTTGGCAAGGCAGTTGAAGTAAGCGAGCGGGATTTCTCTGAAAGCCTTGGAAGGGTTGCCCCTTTCGTATTCACTTCAAGCTCCAGGAGCATCTTTTGAAGTTCAAGGGCAACCTATGTAAGATCGGATAAGAAGTCAAAAATTTGGCCGCGATGATCGGTGTGCACACAAAAATTATTTCGATCTTGTCAAGAACCTGTTCTCCTTGGTTCACCCCTTATCATCTATAGCAATCACTCGCTCTTGCAATTTTTCAAATGTTTGCAGCGCTCCACTGTAAACTTTTCTAGCCCCCCTCCACACTGATGTTTCTTTACCCCCCTCCACAGGCGTCTGCCAACACGGCGGGCTGCCTGCCCCTCTGCCTCGACATGCTCGTGCGTAACTTCCTCCCGCCCGCGCTCCAGCCAGGGGCGCGGGTCACGTCAGACGTGCTGGAAGCGCAGGTTGCGAGGAAAGAGGCGGTGCTTGGGGCGGTGCATAAGACCCTGGAGCGGCTGATGGATCTGGTGCCGATTGCAACGTCTCGGCTGCAGCCGATTGTGCTGCGGAGGATGCCGCACAAGCGCCTGGACCGAGAGGTGAGCTGCCGTGAATCGTTCATGTTGCAGTTTTAGAGGATTTGGGGGCACCTTTTCGCTGGTGTGTGATAACACCTGCTGAAGTTTCCAGGTTTAGCAGGTTTCAGGTCAGGGTTCTGCGAATTTGTGCCCTCCATACTTCCACGGAGGGCTCTCAGGAGCAGGTTTTGTATTCGGCAACACCTTCAAGGCAGGTCCTGCAGAGCCCGAGGCCTACTGACCTCAGCAGTTTGAAAGTGTTCTTCTTGCTGTAGAACAGCTCAGGCTGCAACAAGCCGCTTAGTGTGGTCCTTCGTATCCTGCAGGTTCAGGGCAACTACATGGAGAGCATGTTTCGGCTGGCCGACGGCAAGAAGGGGGATCTGCTTCGAGACAAGCTTCTGACTGCTGTGGTGGATCACCTCATCGAAGTCGACGTAAGCCGTTTTGTGGTCCCGTCACCCGATTGTTTCGGGCGGAGCTTATAGTCAGTCCTAAGCACTCGGCTTCTGCAAACGTTACTTTTTAAAGATTTTGAGAATAAGCAGTTGCTTTCAACAACACGCATGCGGCCAGGAATGCTTCATGGTTCTTAATTTCTTGGGAAAAGCGTTGCCAGGAGGTTCTGTTATTGTCTGGAAAGTATTTTGTAGACAGGCAGCAGAGTAGATGGACGGTGGGGGTGAGACATCTAGAAGCACCGTCACAAAAGAGCAGCAGTCATTGGCGACGGACGTCCGCATCAGACTCTTGTGACCGTCGTTCGTTTGTACACTTGAACCGCTATCTCACCTCTGAACTTGGGTTTCGCATGGGCTTCAGGTGGAGATCAAGTGGGAGGACATTCTGGAAAAGGAGCGTGAGGCCGATTCAGACGACGAGGACGATTTGCACTTTGATGTGGACCTGGACGAGCACGGGGACGACGCTATGCGAAAAGAGGTACAGTTTCTCCTCTTCTGCTCGGGTGCGATTCCTGGCTGGCATGCAGCCGTTCCTGGAGGTAGCTTGGTCGCAAAAAGGAAAACGCCACAGAGATTAAGAGACCTTGTTCCAGAAAGGTGTGTGAAAGACATCAGCTGGGGCTTTGCAATGCAGGCCAAAGAGACTGCTTGTAAACGATATGTGTGGTCTGTGTTGCCTTGTATTGGGATGGCGTCTGAGATTCATATCTTGCTTATCCATACAAGTTTTTACGACCTCTCTTACGATGCAGCACACTTAGTACGGACCAAGGAACCCCCTCCCCCGGACGAGACGGCTTCTTAGATACTTCTGCTGCTTCACCTTGTTCAGTCAGGCAAAACTTTAGGCAACACCTGGGCAAAACTAAGGCGACACTTACAAGTTACACTCGAGCAACATTCTAAGCGCACTTCCTGACGTCTGTGATCTGTGTCGGATTGCAGCACCCGCCTGCGCGAACCAAGGAGCCGCCCCCGCTAGACGAAACGGCGGACAAGATGGACGCGCTAATGTGCCTCACGTTCGAGCACCTGCAGCGGCAGGCGGCGCACGGTCGGCTCGACGAGACGTTCGAGACGCTGCTGCACTCGTTCCAGACGACGATCCTACATACATACCGATCCAAGTTCACGCAGGTGAGGGGAAGACTGGAAGGGAGGCTTAGGGTTAGACAAGTCCGAGAGAACGAGAAGGGAAAGGGTTGGAAGGATTGTTGCGCGCGTCTGCCAGTCGCTATTCATCCACTGATATTCTCATAAAGGCGGAACGAAGGGGAGCGAGAAAAGGTTTTGGGGTGCATTGATTTCTATGCGGGGAACCAGAGCCGAGAAACACAGTTGTTGCTGAAAACATTGTCAACTGGGCACGCGTGGGCACGAGAAAGGTAGCATCAGAAGAATGAAAGCTTTTTCATGCTCTTTTGCCCAAGTATACCTCCAGCGCCACACTGTGTGCAGGGCTCTAACTGATCTGTTTGAACGCCCCGTAACGCCGGTTGCTAGATTTTTCTTTGATTTGCAGCTGCTAACCTCGCAACCTCATCCCTTTCTTTACCACGGCTTGAGAGGAGAGTCAGAGGAAGCGGCACCCATGGGGCAGCTTGTCCACTCCATAGTAATTGCTGCTTCGCTGTCTTGCAGTTCCTGCTGTTCTACCTGTGCTCGCTGGACCCTCCCCGGTTAAGTGCCGCCTTTGCAGACCTCCTGGTGGCCACGGTCGCCGCTCCCTCCAACTCGTACAAAACCAGGTCAGGCTTCCGCGTTTTCCTAAATCCTGGCAAGCTTTGGTATGTCTCTTCTACGTACTCCTGTCTACGTCTTGTGGTGAACTCTTGTCGGGTCTTGTTTGCAACATTGTTGAGTCTGCGAAGCAGAAGCTCTCTTTCTCGATGCTGCTGACAATGTCTGCATCTTACTGAGCTAGCCTCTGTGCAAGCCTTCGGCCTTCCCTTCTACGCGGTCTCCTCGTCCTTTCATTCTCCCGTGGCGTTTGTGGGTCTCGTTTCGCGACGCCCTTGAGTCTGCGAACGCCCTTGAGTCTGCGAATAGAAGTCAATTCAAAGCGCGCTGTTGCAGGGCTGTTGCAGGGCTTTAAATCTCACAGAGCGCTAACCTCTCTGTACCAAGCTCACTGCTCAACCTCGAGGATCTGGGTATTCTCGTAAGGACAAACACTGACGAGTTACAACGGCTGTGCAAATTGCAGGATGGCAGGAGCGGCTTATCTGGCCAGCTTCCTGGCCCGCGCCGACTATGTGCCCCTCTCAGTCGTGTCAAGCTCCCTACGAAGGTGAGCGGCTGCTTGCCGAGAACCGCTTCAATCGACCTTCCGCAGAATGGTATTGAGGTTCGCAAGGCGTATCCGATACTGTGTCCGGCGTAGCTTGCCGAGCTTCGTCCCCGGCAACCTCTGCAGACGCTACTGCGTCAGCGCTGTGCCAGTCGTATCCCTGTTTTGTTTCCTCGCTGCCTCAGACTGCAGCACAATTCGGACGGTTGTTCTACGGGGCGCACGTCACCTTCAACCGGGACCCAATGTTCTCTGGAACCCCTTTCCGGGTTTTCACTAATTGGCGCACTCATTTGGCTTCGCCTCGTTCTTGAGCAGGCTTTCGGACTGGGCCGTTTCGTACGTCCGCATGCTGGCATCATCCCGCGTCGGCGACCTCCTTATGGCAAACCCGGACAGTCTCCCGCCAGGCGCGGGCGTGCACGGCGTCTTCTACTCGGCCTGCCAGGTGAGGGCTTAGCTCCTTCCTCAAGGACATTCTGCTAGGAGGATGTCAAGCATTTGATTCTTACCCACACTTGGGCAAGCCTCTCTGGCGTGGCACAGCCTGATTTTGAACGGGATAGAGACTTCTATTGTGAAGTGCTAGCAGCAGCTCCCGATGGACAGAGTCGTCCCAAGAGGTAACAAAGCGACATATGCGTTTTTTTGGCAACCGAGTGGCCCCGCCATCGTGAAAAGTCGTTGCCGACGCCTGTCCGCTTCCACTCCTTAGATTTCCGTTCTTACTCAAGCCCTAGTCTTTATCCGCTCTTTGCTTTGGCGCAATGTCCAACTTTGTATGCAAAGATTGGAGAGACCATGAAGATTGACGGCCCCCGACTTGGTGCAGTCTTTACATCCTGCTCTAGGCATGCAGCTGGCCGTAGCGGTGAGGGTGCGACAGCCTGCCCTTCCGAAGGCCTTGTATTGATTCAAACGATCGTTTCCCGCAGGCCATCTTTTACATTCTGTGCTACCGGATGGAGGCCCTCAGCAAGGACCCCGTGCTGAGCAAGGCCTTGCAACAGATGCCGCTGCGCGAGATCGTGCACCACGCGTTGAACCCAATGAAGGTGAGCCCACAATGAACGCAGTTCTCGTCAAGACTGCGGTGAAGTTGGCGTAAATGCCAACTCGCGCACTGTCACGCGAGGAGACCGCTTGACAAGCTCGGACGTCCAGCGTCAGGGGCTGTCGACGCAGAGTGGATTCGACAGTCTTGGTTCGCTTGCAAGATTGTGGTCTAGGGCGGGCCCAGGGCTCTCAGATGGATCCGAACGGTCGCTGCTGCTGTTCAGGACCTACGTGTTGTGAAGCTTTGGGAGGCGAGTCGGGCGAGGATTCCGACCTGTTGAAAAGCAGGTTTGCAGGGTCCGGTGCTTCTCTCATGCGCCCCCAACCGCATTCATTGCAGTCAAAATCAGCCCGACCTTCTCGAGGATAACGTAGAGATGGTACTTGGAGTTCTGATTCACGTGACGACCATTGTACCACACTCCTTCTGACTCTCGGCTTTCTTCCTCGTACAGGTGTGCTTGCCTGCGGTCGTGAAGGAGTTTTGCGCCCAGGCCGCGGCTTTCGACCTGCTAGACTGCTCGGACGTCCTGCAGCGCAACGAGCGGTCCGAGGGGCGACCGGGGGCGGTGCGCCACAACAAGCTCGACATGTTCTTCCCGTTCGATCCCTACCTGCTGCCCGCGTCCCTCAAGTGAGCGCCCACTATATCGTTCTGCTTCCGTTTCTGTTCCGCTGCCGTTCTTGAGCTCGTCGTCCGGATCTTGGTGTGGATAATTGTTGCCGCTGCTTCTGTCCTGTTGGCGTTGCTCTGTAGTCCGTCTCTTTCCCATTGGTTGATGCTTTGGAGAAACTCTTGCCCTCGATCGGAACATGCTCGAGTCTGGAAGCCGCCAGATTCAACGGCTCATCCACAAGACACGACTGACACGGAGAACCGTGGGACGCTTTTCTCTCCTGTTTTTCTTCGGATCCCTCCCTCTCCAGAGAGCTCACCTCGTTGCTCCGCTGAAAGCTTTGTGTAGTGCTGTAACCAAAAGCTGTTGCTGTGCGCAGATTCGTGGAGCAACATTACAACGAGTGGAAGCCTCGAGGCGCGCCACAAGACGAGGACGAAGAGGAAGAGGACGACGACGAAGGCTTCCAGGAGACCTGTTCGTCTGAGCGGGGCGATCACGGGGACGCAGAACGAAGTGACGAGGAGGAGTATACGCATATGGGCGCGAAAAGCATGGATGTTGGAAGGACACCGGATAGTAATGCGGCAACTAAAATGACGGAAGGGGTAAAGGCGAGCGGTACGGGGTTGGTGTGGGGTAGCTATAGTAGTGGCGGCCAAAGCGACATAGCTATGTCGCAGGGGTGCACGCCGATGTTGTATACGCAAATGAGCTCGCTCAAGCAACTGCCTGCTATCTTAGATACTGGACTGGAGTATGCGAAAGCAAGGTAGTACTTATAGGGGTTGGCAAGGATCAGCAAATCTTATCGACAGCGAACTCCATACTGTAGGATAGAATCGCTTTAGGTCTTCTGACTATCCGAGGGGGAATTCATGTAAATAATAGCTTGGCCGTTGGTAACGTCTCACAGGTCTTTCTTCGATTCAGTGACTGGCTTTCGATCTCACCTGTGCTGTTGTGCAGTGCTACTTTGGTCCCGCATAAAGCTGAGCACTAACTCATACGACCATCTTGACTCGCCCAAATTAATTTATCAATTTAATTAATTACAAATAGATGTATGTGTCGGACAGTCGTGCCACCTAGGTCTGTGAAGCGCTTGCAGTGCTTTGAAGCTCCATGCGTCGGCATGTGGGAGCCGACGCCGCTTTCTCAACGTTGTCATGCAGATTCCATGTATACGTGTGTACATGTAATAGAGCTGGGTCACACCTCTGCGGATCGTACAACTGAGAGTTTTGCGCATGGGCAGCGATCCGCGTGCTAAGATGAATCAAGCAGAGAAAAACCATGCGCAGTAGCACATCCTAGGTCTTCCGCGGCGCCTAAGATATACATATAGCTATCTCACATAGATGGATGGAATTGGGCCGAAACCGTTGATGTTCATGCGTGCAAGTGTAATGCACTCTTTGCATGTCTTCATCACATAAAATGCGGTCAAGCAACCCTCGGCACTAAACCTTCTTGATCACCGTACAGGCCATACGGGACACGCCGATACCGCACTTTATGCAATGTCCAGGAAGTTTCACTGCAGAGACACTCGGCTGCGCAGGGTACAGAATCTTGAACTTGAAGTTGGTGTTTAACTTAGTTCTGACATAGTTCGCGTGCCTATCCGGGCCTATCTCGAAAACGGGACGAGGAGTCCGGCCCTTGGCTGGGACGATGCCTTGACGGCTCTCCTGAAGGACTCTCGTTGGCCCGCCGAACCCCAGCAACGTCCACAGACCGGCTCCGCTCCCTCTGCAGATCGTTGAAAAGAATCTCTTCGTTACCCTGCCTAAGATCAACCCTCTGCAGCATCTAGTTTTGCACGTCTACCCCCGGTTATGAGGTTTTTGCTTCCTCCGAGAACGCACGTCGACTTGTAAACAACGATGATACGACATCAAGAGAGTCCAGACTCGATTCCGCGGTGAAACGAGCAACCTTTAAGAAGTTAGGCCGTCATATCGACTGAACGAGCGAACCGAAACCATGATCTGAAAAGGTGCTAAGACGGCCTTCCAAACCAATCAGCGCTGCGCTGAATCGACATGCGTTGTCCTGTATTTCGGTCTTCAAGAATGACAAGCAGCGCGCTTGCATCGATCATGGGTGTTGAGGAACGACATAGGAACGAGAGAGAGAGGGAAAGAAAGAAGCGGCTGGGAACGGAGCAGAAAGGGAGTCCCAAATCAACCGAACTGACCCTCACCTCCCCTCGGTTTTCGGGCTTGACGGATCCCCCTCGTTCCTTATCTCGAGAAGCTGGACGGGTCAGCCTCGACTCAATGTAAGCTCTCGCCTTTGCCATGCTGCACACAAGGGCCGACTACTAAGGGGTATTTGACGTGTCCTTTAGCGTCCATCTCTAGTACTTTAGGCAGGACGGTTAAAGCAAGGGGTTTCCAGACATTAAGGTCATGCGCGATGGTCTGTAACAAAGTCCAGCGTTTGATGGTTTGTGAATAGAAGCCACCAGACAAATGGAAAGAACGTCTTTGTTTCAAAGACCAGCAAGTTTTTGAAGTCGAAGCTCGCTGAGAAAGCCAAACATCCCAAGACTTCCATCTGCAGCAGTGAGAGTAATCAGACTGGGAGATCTCAAGACTGCAGGTTCCTCACTCTTGCCGAAGCTCGCTAATCTGCACGTCTTTTCGCTTAACCTCCATCTGAGCGGTCTGGAACAGAAAACAATCCCAGCCGTTTCTTAGTTAAGAGGGCATTCGTGTGAGCTGGGAGGATCCGACGGTCAGGAAGAGACACTATGTCTCTCAATCATTCGGTCGATTGAGAACCATCAGACGAACGTCAGGCTTGCTCATGCTGCAATGAGGATTTGCAGACAGCAGTAGGAGCATACAAAACAACACAGCAGAAAGGCGTGGCAGGCGTGAACCGAACTCACTTTGAAAAGGGCGGATATGTTTTTGATGAGGATCCTTCGTTCGTTTTCAAGCTTTGCAGTCTGTCGCAGGGCGCAAGGAGACCCATCAGAACTAGCGCAACGTCTCAGAAAAGTGCTATGCCTTCATCTTATATCCCTGATCAGTTCCCAAGGGCACTCGACAATCATGAAGTTGTTCAGATGCGTCATCAATCTCCCCTTGGCAAGCGGACTTTCAATTCACAAGGTGGCTGTTGGCAGCGGATGAACCATCTGATTGCTTCACAAGAGTTGCGCAGCTTCGAGCGACATGCCTCCTCAGTGTCATTGCATACAAGGAAAACACGATTCACCTTTTCTTCCAACTCCTGTACTTGAGCTTGGCTGCGTTCATACCTCTCCTCCAACTGGAGTGTTACACCACCAGAAAGGGGATTGAATAAAACTCGTCTACCAAGCATCACTTGATGCATCAGCTTTCACACCACAATGAAGAATGAATCATCACAATGACAAGCATCAAACAATGAAACATCAAATATCAAACAGTGACAGATGCTTTGTAAGCCAGACCAACAACGCCAAAATGGACTAGCAGCAATCAATCAACGGATCGTTGGGTTGTGAGATTTCTAGTGGTATAAAGCAAAAACATTTGCTTCTTTGCAGTAAGAGAAAGGTTCTCTTTCTTCTCCAAATCCAATCGGTTGTCTCTGCACCTCTTGCAATTCGGTCTTGAGGACTTTCTTCCCCTGACCAACATCAGCGTACAAGTCACCGTACAAATCATCGTCGTCAGCGCCGCGGGCCGCATCAAGACCTGGACAAGTGATTTTGAAGTTGGGTATGGCTCATCGGAACTGGGCAGGCTGCAGGGCCAGCCTTCAAACTGTAAGATCCCTGCTCATGAAGCAGCCTTCACAAAACCTTGTACCCACTTTGTTGGCAATCTGGCAAAAGCGGGGCTATCGCTAAAGAAAGTCTTACATACCAATGACCGCTGTCAAGACATTTATGTGACGTCTTCCAGTTTAGCTCATGCATCATCATCAACAACGCTGAAAACCAAATTGAACCCAAGGCTCCCCTCACCTTCCATCAAGTCTTCTTCAGCATCAGTTTCGGAAGCCATCTAGAGCAGCAGCGGTGCAAGGGAACAACTTTGCAGTGCAATGCTGGCGGCCCGTGATCTCAGCAAAACGCTCCGGCTTATTGAGCGGCTGGTGGAGAAGAAGCGTCTCAAGAATGCAGATGTTACAAATTGAACAATGAAATGGAGGCAAGCCCTAAGTTTGCTTTAACTTACGCTAAGCACAAATTTGCCCTACACCAGTTACGATTTTCGCCCCGCTCTAGTCCCGCTGGACTCGGATCCGACGGCTTAGATTCCGTTGCCGATACGGTATTGGTTTTCAACACATCCATGCGCCTCAGCCTCAGGTGGAGGCCAGGTGCAGAACCCAACTACAGCTTGCTTCAGCTAGTTCAGTTGGGCAGATTCCAGCAAGCAGGTGACACACTCTCCTGAAGTTGAACTCAACAGCCTGCACTAGCAGATGCAGAGTCACTTGGAACCGTAGGTCTTCAGACACTCACTGTCAGTTTTGGGCGCCTCAAAGCGTTCAGTCGTTTTACTAAGTGCTTTCTGATAGAAAGACATTCGGCTTTGGCAATCTCTGACATCGTGCGGAGGACGCTCTGTCCCAGCGGCGGAAGCGGAGGCGTCAGCGCGCTGTCATGTTGCGCGCTGGGCACGGCCTCCGGCACCACCCCTCATTGGGGCCCAGTTCAGACGTCGCTTGGCTTGAAGACGCCCCCGGGGCTTTGGCAAACTTGAACCTCGATTCTTACGAGCTGGACCTTCTTGCGAACGAGCTATTGGACCTGGACATGGAAAGAAATAGCAGCGGGCGCTCTGCAAGCAGTAGCAGGTGCGAGGGCAGCAATCAGACGGGGACTTCTTCGCATAAGACAGCCACTCCGTTTCATCGCAAGGCTTCGTTTCTAGAAGCGCAGGCGACAGGGCCGTTAGGGAGGGGGATCCTTGCGGCAAATGCCAGGAGGGCTGGGTTTCTGGAAGCGGAGAAACAGGCGAAGGGACCGTTCAGGCTGTCGAATCTGTGTTTGGGGCTGCTGGGCAGCAGCTTGGAGGATCTGATGGACGATGTAGAGGTCCTGGGGAGGATTCTGCCACAAAATGCCAAGGTGAGCCCTTCTGTTTAGAAACTTTTGAGAGTTTCGAGGTGCTCGAATCCAGGAAGGTTCTTGAGTTGGCGCCCCGAACACAGGCTCAAAAGCAACTTTTGTGTGCCGCGACATTAGTGAAATGATGGCAGCTCCTTGATGATCTGGAGGCGAGATGGTCACTTGCATTAGAAATTTGCGTCTGTTGGCGCATGGACAGTGGGAAAAGTAGAGGATGTGCGCACTTGCATGAAACCACTTACAGCAACACTTCGAAGCATGATCAATGGCCCGAGACGAAGAGCTCTTGCACCCCTGCTGTGACACCCCTCCTCCATACCCGCAGCCTAACTTCTGAGAATTAAGTGACCAAATCTTTCTACAGTGTACCGAAGTTCTACTCGCCCTCGTGTTTTATTCCTCACAAGGGGCCCTTCAGATAAGGGGAGTTCAATACAGATTTCCGATGCATGTGGTTTGACATCAGGTGTCTTGGTCTTGGTGCAGGCCCCCCTCATCGCCATCGCCAGGCGACGCAATCTCCTGAACGATAAAATACTGGTGGCCCTGTGTGACGAGAGTTTCGAGATTTTGGATGTATCAGGTTCGGGGGTGACGGCTGAGGGCATCACTGCAGTCGCCAGGACATGCCCAGGCTTGAGGGCCGTGGACATCAGGTTAGTTTGAGGTTAGTTTGAGGTTAGTTTGCCCAAGGTTGCAAGGTTCAAGGCTTTAGTCAAATCTTTGACTGATGAGGGCGCTTTTTGGATCAGAATCTGTGGTTGTCCTGGCAGTCTAACATGGTTTGTGAGTTAAAGAAGTGGTTCGCATTATACCCAAGAGCACTTGTTCAAGCGACTGTGGAGCGTTTGCGTATCCACCTATACTTGATCTGTGCCGAACGATGGGTCTGGGGACCAGTTTTGGGCTAGTTTCGAGGAGGAATTCAGGACACCAACTCGAAACCAGCGGCGCCACATTCGATGTCTGATGTTGTGCTCTCGATTGATGAGAAAGGCTCAAAGAGATGCTCTGCCCTTCAACACTTCGTCAGCAGCTCAAGGAAACGAGCATAAGTATCGATCTCAGGCAGAGACCCGTTCAAAGGGCCGGCTGTGCCCTTTGTGACAGTAAGAGTCGTCTGCTTTCGCAACAAACGGGGCTGGGAATCCTTTCCAATAATGTCGCTTCTTCCCCGCAGGTGCTGTCCGAACATCTCGTCGAAAAGCATTGAGGCCCTCGTCCGACACTGTCCGGAGATTCACACGTTACGACTAGGGTGAGCGTCTCTGTCCTTCTTGGCGATCGCGTACTATCACATTTCGACGGGCCATTTTAGACGCCCGCCAGGCTACGTCAAGGTCTCTCCTGTTAACTTACAACAACCGAAGCAGAAAGCTGCAGCCTTTGAGTCGTTCAAAAACGCTTTGCTCAAGTTGCGCTCTGAAAAGCACAGATTCTGGAGAGACCCCTTGATGATTCCTATCTCGACCGTGTCTCCTTTGCGCGTATGTCCGCATCAGCTATTTCAGGTTTCTTAATGCGAATTGGTAGTACCGCTTCTCAAATCAAAGACACGCTGTTTGTGTCTCCGTCTCGAGCCTCAACGTTCGAGATTTCTAGAGACACCGCACGCATTAGGCGTTCCCCTGATCGACGGTTCCTAGAGCAGGGGGGACGCCATTAGCAACCGGACGGCGCAGCGGTCGATCAAGCACCTGGTACCGCAGCTGCAGTCAGCAGAGGAGTCGTCAAGTTGGGAGGAGGTGAACGTCGACAAGGTGGCCGTGGGGGCGGGAGCGTTGGACTGGCTGATTTGGGTGAGAAGAGGCTACTATATTCGCAAAGCTGTCTTGACGCCTTTGGATCGAACTGAGGGTCATTCGGATGTCAAGCCTCACTCTAGACTCTAGCTTCTTCAAGCGATCTAAGCAGGTGATTCTTGGATTGACGTGTCTGTGTAAGGTCTGGTTGGTTCAAATCTGAACATGTCGGATTTCTAAGTCCTTCATCAGAGATTTGAACCAGCTTCAGTATCCTTATCGAAGCCGGAATTCAGTTTACAGCGATGCTTGTATTGGCCTGCTTTTTCAAAATGACGTTCGTTTCCTATGGAGGATCTGCTAATGATCTGCTATTATGCTGGGCGAGAAATGAAATTCGAACTGAAAGCATTCGTCTCGGCGCCGACTGAAGCGGTCTGTAATTATTGGCACCACCGTTGATTTCCTCTTCAACTGGTCTTGCTCTCCGCAATGGCAGTGGAAGTTGAAAGTCAAGACGTGTTGTTGCAGTGAGAACTTAGAGTGTATGTCAGGTGGCCACGATTACGATGCATCAATATCGATACGACCCAGCCATCTCGTGACCACGTAAAGTGTGCCTCGATTTCCTAATAAACAGTTGCTTCTGTTTGCAGCCTTCTGTAGACGAAGCGTCTCTGCTCCGATTGGAAAGAGAGTTTCCTCGAGTTACAGTCAATCCAAAGCGGAGGCGAGATCTTCCATACTATGCACGATTGGAAGAGCCTTTAGATGGGCCCTTATTGGATGGCATTGATCCGGCAAGTTGGGCACACCAGGTAGGGAACGAAAAGGAAGACCTGGAAGAAACTCAGAGGTCTGCTGATGCTAGTTTAGTACCAATTGCTGAGCGCTTCCGACTAGCCTATGTGGAACGCTATGAGCGGACAGCGGCGAAAAGGGCTAAGAACAAGCGCCGGCAGGAGAGGAGAGCGGAGAAGGATTTTGTGGCAAACGATATCATGGCTCGTGCACTGATTTTGGCGAGCATGGTGCGCTAAACCGTAGACGCTTTGTCCGACACCTGATCACTAACGTCGTGGATAGTTCTCGATTCGAAGTTGACTGTGTACATAATGAGGGCACGTTCAGCGCGGCAGGCCTGTTCAACGTCAAAACGAAGCGACTCGAGCTGGCAAAACCGAGTCAGGGCTTCTGACGATTGTATCTAGCATTCCTGATTGTCGGAAGCGGCTGCTTGCAAACATATCATTATGACAGGCATGATCTCCTTAGCCCCATGTGAGACATCTGCAAAGTCCCTCAACACTAGTTGCAGACATGTGGGCTCAGCCGTTACGGATAAGCTGCAGCCGAACCACCTTTGGGATGTTCTGAGGGTAAACTTGAACAACGGCCGGGCATGGCCGCAGTCCGACCATGGAGCAATGTGCGACATGACTATAAGATGTATTGAAATCTAATTGTTCCTCTCGTATGCGCAGGTCAACGTCGATATGTAACGTGTCTGGACTAAAGTTCAGTTAGCGAAGAGAGCCTTGCACCGGGCCATGCTCGAGCTGGTCGATCTTGGAACTTTCCTCCAATCATGGGTGCAAAAGGAACCATGCATGTCCAACCCCATGCAAGCATGCTACAGTATATTGAATACTGCCGCCGCGGCGATTCTGCAGCCGGTCACCTAGCTTCTACTGCATCTACTGCATATGTGTGCCAGAAATTGGACAATCGGCAGAAGAATGCCTCAACTCGCTTCCACAAGAGCGTTGGATGCATGTGGACCGACGTCCTATGGTTGCTGCTTGCTTCCAATTGGAACCATGTGGCGCTGTCGAATCTGATCTGTCCCTGCAGGTACCATTGAACAGGCCGCGGCGGACCTGCCGTGAGCGAAGTTGGTGAATCTTTTAAGTGGCCATGCTGAGCGATGTAGCTAGATGCTAGGGGGATCATCCTGATTTGCGATGGTTTAGAATGTGGTTAAAGCCTTGAACCTGGTTTCAAGTGAACAGTGAATAGTCTGGGAGTGGGGGGGCAAAAATCCGGTTAAGGCTTCACTAGAGTACACACTCTCTCACCAGCCTAGTTTCCTGCTTGCAAAGAACAGAGCATGGCTGCCGCCCCATGTCTTATATCAAACGCCTTGCTCCTCCTCTTCTATCAAAGTCGTCAGAACTCCATAATTTTTGAGCGCACACTTGGGAAGCTGCCTTGCAGTTAACCATGTCGACAAAGTGTTGCGAGTTTGGTGCAAATTGAAGCCTTGAGACTCCGCTGGACAAGGTTTCCAAGATGACTTTCTGGTTGAATCTTGGCTTTGTGAAGTCAATTCTGCGTCATCTGCAGCTCTGGAAAGCTGCTGCGTTGGTGGTTGCGGATGCCTCAGTCCCAAAGATAACGGTGAGCGTTATTCCTCACTGTTCTCTTCTTTCATTTTACCCTCTTCTCGCCCTTGTCTTCTCTTCCTTCTTACCCTCTTTTGACGTTGGGGAATGTTTGGGCCATTCCTGAGGTAGGGCTGGCAGGTGGCAGCTCAGAAGAGCCGACCTTCCACAATCCTTCTTTAATGAGCACCGCATGAAGCTCTGAATGATGCTCTTTGTTCTGTGTGCTGCAACCTTGTCTGTGTCTGAGCTACTTTACTACGGCTCTCAGGAACCTTTGCAGTCTCTAACCCTCACAGCAGTACACATTCCTCCTTGTTCTTACATCTGACTGTAAAGTTATATCTGCCAGCCTCAGAACACCAGCCTCATTCGCTATCCTTAAGGCTTTGTTTAAACTTTTTCCCCAGGATTGTGCAAGCAGCGGAGTAGGTTGTATTTCAAGGTTTTGAAGAGCTGCATGACTTTTGAAAACGCAACTTCCACGCCATTTCGGCACATCTTCCCTCTTCCATTGCAAGAAAGAACATGATATAGGAATTTGAGCACATTCCTTTTGTTTCCTTTGTCACTAAAGGTCTTGCTGAAAGAAGCGGCTCTGTCACTAGGAGTAGCTAAGATGAACGGGTCTCAAATAGTCTGGGGGAGCGTGACACCAAAAGGTGGGGCAAGGAGGCAAGGAGAATTGCATGTAGCTTTTCATTATTGTACAAATGGGCCAAAGACGTTTTTGTTGACAGCATTGCATCAGCAAAGCTGATAGGCAAACCGTATGACAAAGGCAGAAACAGTATGGCTCCATTTGGAGCGAACACTGTCAAATTGTCATGCATACGACCGAAGACTACTCATCAGGGGTGCTGTGTTTACTAAATTTGTTATCCGCAGCTTCCCGATGGCCGACAAGTGGCGTACCTGGAGAAAGGGTGCCGGCCGTCAGATGCAAGGCATTCCCTACTATTGTTGCACGGCCTGGGGTCATCCAGACTGTCTAACATGCCAGGTCAGCTAGTGGGGCTATTCACACCTCCTCACGTCTGTCATAACAGGGGCTTGGGTGTGAATAAACTCAAATATAGGTGTAGTAAATAGCTCAGACTGCATGTGCGCGTCAAAGCTGTCAATCTCGGTAACATTAGAACAATTTTGTCACACCCGTCAAGATTGTAGCGTCGGCTTTGGATCCCAAACCTTTCAGAGTAAACGCGCCTTCCTGGCTTTGAGTTGGTGCCCTCAGCCAGGCACAGGCTAACAGCCTTTGGATGCTTTGGGCAGGACTTCGAGGAAGTTGCAATTCCTGACCCCTAAGAGAGATGTCATGAGAGCTTCTTTTATTCTTATTATCCTGAGAGCGATCCGTCAGGAGACTATGCAAACAGACGCTGGACTTGACACCCCCGCCCTCTAGACCGGTCTCGAGCCATGGAGGCCCCACAGTTAATCACGCCAACAGTACACCAAAGTTCTGCCGCTTTTCTCAACAAAGGTTTCTCCCGACAGGCATTTCCAACGAGACCCTGGCTGACTACGGCGTCCGCATGGTCGCCATCGACCGCCCCGGATACGGACAGTCGGACGCGCGGCCGGGACGCACTTTCCGGTCCGAAGCGCATGACTTGGCACGGGTTGCGGACGCTTTACAGTTCCCGGAGAAGTTCTGGGTACTTGGATACTCCATGGGGGGAGCTTTTGCATGGGGCGCTATCAGGTGAGCTTTGGTAATGTGACTCACCTGGCAGGGACTACTTTGTCTTTGCGTCAAGGCCTCGAACTTGAGTTGGGTGTCTCTTTCTCTGAGACAAGAGAGTTTTTGTCTGTTGCAATGGTCCTCTTTCGCCCACAAGTAGATGCAACGCCGTTGAATCATTCTCTGCTGACAGGGCTTGGGCGTTCGACAGAAGTGAATACTTGCTTGTCTTCAGGAACATCGGTCAAACCCCACGCGCTTTACAGCTGCAGATCCATGCCCGTTGTTGGCTGACGTCAAGCTCCTCTGTTAGCAATCAGTCATGAGAATGATCATTGCGTGATTTCGCAAGTCGAAAGCGCCAAGAAACGCTCGCAACAGCCTGATTTACTCGGTTCCAATGTGACCCTCCCAGGTACATACCGGAGCGCCTGGCCGGGGCGACCCTGTGGGCTCCCGTCGGCAGCCTGCACTGGCCGGGGCTGACGTCACAGGAGCGGGCCGACATCTGGCGGGAGATTCCGGGGGACTCCAAGGTAAGCAAGGCTGGAGTTGATTCTTAAGCTGCCACTCCGTTTGCATGCTGACAAGTGGCTCGGAACGGACAGACCTTTTATAACGTCTAGAAGGGTCGTTGCAGTACTGGCGCGTCATGTTTTTTCCAACACTGCTTGAAGTGTCGGAATATGTTGTTCCCAAGGGTGGGAAGTGGCATGTCAGGGTCCCTGGAAAACAGAACGGCCGGGGATTGTGCCATTACGGCGGGTTTGACCTGAAGTTGGCTAGTGGGTTGCCGCGCATTTCAAGGGATTCGAACGTGTGCTATCATTGCCACGCTGGTAGGAGCAAATCGAAAGGAACCCACCACTCTCCGAATGTCCCCGACCTTACGATCGGGGCAAAGGTCAAGCAATTTCGTCCTTTGAACTAGCAATAGCACGACGTGACAAAGGCCCGTCAATTTGAAGAGACAGATCAAGGATTTGTATGGCCTCAGGGAAGATGCCGCTCCCGGTTATTTTTCCTCGGAGTTTCGCAGATGCCCACGAAGCGTGGAGCTCTCCTTGGCCGGGTCAACATTTCTCTTGTTCCTGGACAACTTGCGTTCATCGGGAATCTTGAGAAGTCTCGTACCGAACGGTTGGGATACAAGGAACTGGACTAAAGGTTCCTCGTCGTACTAGAGCCTCGCGTTTACAACTCCCGTGGAACATTTTTGACACTAGATGTCGGCCTTGCATTGCTTTTGTCTTTCGCTTCGTTTCTACCCGGACAACTTGAACCCCGAGTTTTCTACACGAGTTTTCCGGGATTCTTTGTCTTTCATGACTTGGCGTGAGAGACTAAGCTAGGACTCGGGAAAATGCGGCTTTCTGGACGGGGAGCTGAGCCTCTCAAAACCCCTCCCTTTTCTGGCGCAGTACACCATAGCGTATGGGCGGCACGTCCCCCGATGGGCGCTCGACTTATGGGCACAACGCGTGATCCTGCCCAACACCGGCGATCGCTGGGTTCGGCACGGAATGAAGCGCTTTTCGCCGCCCGACAAAGCGTACCTTCAGAAACCGGGCGCGGCTGAGATGCTCACGGTAATGTCTTCCGTCTGTTGCTGGATTCGAGTGGTTGCCTCGTTGACAGCTGCGGAATTTGACGAGTTTTACTGTTAAGAATCTGCAATCGTTCAAAAGAATAACAAAAGAGAATAACAAAAGAGAATAACGAAAACAATGAAGTGGAGGAAAAAAAGAGAGCGAAAAACCACCCTATTCTGGAGCTGCTTTTAGTCGAAGTTAGAAGAAGACGTCAGTGCCTGTCGGTGTTGTTGCAGTCGGAGGTTGGTCGTGGCGAACTCGGGGAAGGATCGAATCGTTGAGATTGCGATGAGAAGTCATCAATGAAGAAACGAGGGGCCGACTCAAGTTCAACGCCCTCTCTTGTTCGCTTTGTCTTCGAGTCTCCTTACTTGACAACTCCGCCCTACTATTAAGCTGCTCCAACTTACGAAACCTTCGAGCATCTTCGACAGAAAGGCAACACGAGGCCATTTCAACGGGGCAATTAAAGATTTCTAAGTTCGGTACTGATTTCGGTAGTCTTTCTTTCGACTTTCTTTTTTCGAGCATTGTCTACGGCAGGCTAAAGTAGGAGGCATTTCAAAAGTGACAACGTTCTACTGTTCGGATTGTGTTCTGATCTTCCTTGTTTCTTTCGAATCTCCTTTGCTTTGAATTTCTCATCAAAATTTTGGTCGAGCGGTTAGAGCTTCGCCCACAGGAAAACATAACGTGACGTCTCAATCTTGCCATGAACCACACTTCTAATTCTTCCCCATCGTCACCTTTTTCTTGTTCTGCGCCTTTAGTTCTGCTTTTCGTTGTCTTGCTTTTTTGTCCGACTTCCCAATCCTCCAACGTTCAATTCCGCCTGCAGAAGGACAACACGGAGGCGTTTCGACAGCGCTCGGGGGCGCCGTTCGCCGACGACATCCACACGATGGCCGGCAGCTGGGGCTTCGAGCCGGGGGACCTCACCGGGTTCGACAAACCCATCCACATCTGGCAGGTCAGGCTGGAAGGGAGAGAATCTTATCCGACTCCATCAGCAGCGTTTTTGGTTACGATGAGCATTGTTTTGGGTTACGATCAGCTGTGTAATGCCAGGACCCACATTCTTGACTCGGAGGGCAAACGGAACTTCGCTTTGTTGGTCATTTCTGAACTTCGGCAAGAACCGAAATAACTTCCATGCGGGAAGGAGAAAACCTGCGATGTAAGGAATGAGAAATTCCGTTTCCACTAGCACCAAGATACTCTTTCAGAGCCACGAGAAGCAATCCAACGGTGCCAAGAAAGGCTTTCAAAATTGCTGAAACTTAACGAAGCCCGTACGTCGCTCACGAGGATCTATCTTTCCAGGGGACGGAAGACTGGCTGGTGCCGAAGGGCTTCCAGCGGTACGCCAAGCGGCGGCTGCCGCGGCTCCACCTTCACGAACTAGAGGGGGAGGGACACCTGTCCTGGTTCTGCCACAACGAGGCCAATCAGCGCAAGGTAAGAGCAGAATGTTCAACGGATTCGAGGAGTGTTAAGTTTTGGCTAGAGACAGATGGATCAGCGCCCGACAAGTGTTGCGAAGGTTTGCGGCTTTAGGGTGGGTCAGCTGTGGGTTGAAGTCCTGGGTTTGCCCTGGTTTGTGCGAGGTTCCAGGTTTTGGTTTGTGCGAGCTCGGTGCATTGGAGCGATTCAGCGGAGGCCAAAGTCACCATTGGTAAAGAAGTCTTGACAGGTCAAACATACTGTCATGCTTCGAATTGAGAGTGTACTGGTCGAGAACTCTCAAAAGAGGAGGAAAGTTTTCGTGATGCGGTCACTTCGATTCCCTTGGTTAACAACTTCAATCAGCGCCACGGTAGGAGTTGCGGTTTGAACATTCGGCTTTGGAACAATGGGCTGTTCCATGCTTGGAAATGTCGCCGGGATCGGGGGCAGGCAGAGTGCTTGAGGTTGCTTCCAATCCACAGTACTCGTGCCCTGCGCATTACGCAGCAGACAATCATGTCCAATTCAAATGCACGTAGGAAGCGTCAGATACCCGCGGTTAGGCATTTTGTCTAGTTAAGTTTTCAGTCCAACCTGAGACCTCGAACTTGGCCGCGCGCCTTTTTGGATTGAAGGACGTCCACCTCTTCGAGAGAAGGTCTTGGACAAATTCTCATAGACGTGCTCGCGTCTGAGTTATATCTGTATTGACGTATTTACTGGCTTCTCAATATTGCGCTCTTACAAATGCAGGTCCTCGAGTCAATGTTCGGACCCCCCATCTCGCTGAAAACGTCCAAGATCTGAGGGTTGACAACGTTGCGACAAAATGAATGATTGAAAGAGTGATCGGAGCCCGAGGGCTGTACTATCAATAGGATATATAGGACGGCCTTAAGCTGACTCGTGTTCGTGAGTCAGGGTTGATCAACTGCGGGCATCGTAGCGGGCATCGGGAATGAAAGAGAATCATCGGAGTTAGGGGTTATACAGACAGGTGTATCCGAAATGATCAATCCCTGCTGGTCGTAACTCCAAACTTCAGAATAGCAAGCCGCTCGCAAAGCTAGGAACAGCCCAATTTAAGAGAGATCAATCATGTGTGGCCAGGTAGGGTTGCGGGTGCCAAGGTTCAGGGTAGTCTAGGTTAGTATATAGCTTCACGTTTGAAATATGCTCGGTCATTGGCGCGCAGGTCTTAATGTTGTTCTCCGACAACGCTCACGTAATTATAGACGTGCAGGTCACTGAGGAGAATGCAGCAGTCGTCTTAGGGTCGATATGGTGTGGAGCAGCCGTGACTGGAAAAGCTAAATTGTAGTGGGTGGAGACGTATTCTGAGGGTTTTGTCACGATCAACAACCTATGCTTTCTTCTAACCTCGGAAACTTGAAAGGTCGCGTGCATAGACGAGCACATGTGAATCGAACTAGACCACCACTGGGGTTATGCAGAATTGGATCGGAACGCACATGATGCTTAGTACAAGGTCTGACGAGACCCCATGCATGGAATGGTCAGGAGTTCTCAGTAGATGTGGTCGATTTGTGATTTGAACCCTGATTATATCAAATTACAAAAGCTAGCACTTTTTTTGCATGGCGAGGTCTCAGTGGTGAGTGTATGCCGGTAGCTACTGCGTGGTGGGAATAACTGCCTCATGACATGGCTTATTCGATCCTGAGCCTGGCAGAGCTCAGGATGTCTTGGTGTCGGAAAGCTGGCCATGTAGCATTGCATTGCATGGAATAAGTGCGACTCATGGTACTCAATCCATGGATGCAATGCTGAACATGCTACATCCTAGACTGCGTGTGCTTCAAGGTTCTTGCTAATGCACCAGGAGAACTTGCACAACAGCATATGCGCGTGAATGTATGCGTATCGGTGGAACAAATGCCATTATTACGGCTGCTGAATGCAGCTTCTTATCAAAATTAGGACTAGTTACACAACGTACGTGTCACTGAGGAACAATCTCAAGGCCTTTCTAATAAGGAATCGTCTCACGCCTCCAAAGAATCGGTCCGAATAATCTCTATGCGCGCCTACTTGCTGTCCGTGAAATCAGCGTCGATCACCTCCCCATCGTCACCCCCCTTCGGACCCTCTGCACCGGCGCCAGCGCCAGGTTGCTCCGGGCCTGCACCGGGAGCGCCAGCCCCGGGCTGGTTGTACAGGGACTGGCCTAGCGTCATCACCTCCTGCTGGAGCGCGTTCTGGGCGTCCTTGATCTGGGCGGTGTTGTCCGTGGCAATAGCGTCCTTCAGCTCTTGCAGCTTGCCCTCCACCTTGGCCTTCACGTCAGCAGGCACCCTGAGTGGAGGAAAGGCATGTGTCAGAGAGAAGAGACGGACTAAGCAAGCTTACACAGTACGGAAGGGGAGTGGCGCAGCATTCGTACTACGTAGTGAAGATCAGTCGACTGTTGATCGATAGTTGAGGAGAGTTGAGGAGAGCTTACGCTCAACTCTGGGCTACCCACTTGTGCGGGCTCTACAACATAATCTCCCAAACTCATCCAGTACAAACCCACACACCACCGACTCCTATTCTGACAAAGAACCTCTTCTTGCCAAACACAAAGCAGACTGACGGTGGCAGACCTTAGAAAAGAACAACACTGGGGAGATATATGTGCAAGACAACATCGTCCCCAGGCGACTTACTTGTCCCCAAGTTCCTTGATCTGCTTTTCCGTCTGGAACGCGAGCGACTCGGCCTGATTCCGGGTGTCAACGGCCTCCCTCCGCTCCTTGTCCTCGGACGCGAACTTCTCCGCCTCCTTGACCATGCGCTCAACCTCGTCACCCGGCAGAGTGGACGCGCCAGTGATAGTGATGTCCTGCTTCTTGCCGGTGCCCTTCTCGGTGGCAGACACGCTCAGGATACCGTTAGCTGCAAACAGCAGCATGCGATTTCAAAAATCGTTTGACTAAAAGAGCGAGAGTATTTCTGCAAAAAAGCGACACCCCGCAAAAACCTAGCTTTCTGGTTTGACTAACTTCTGCTTCGGCCGCCAGGTATGCACGAGACAGTTGGAATCGACACTTGGGGCATAGCAGTCCGAATCTCTCAGCAGCAAAGCAGTGTGTTGCAAAACTCGCTTCTTCCATGACGTCGTAAGCAACAAAAACAAAACTGCACGAGCAACTTACCGTCAATGTCAAACTTGACCTCAATCTGAGGAACGCCCCGAGGTGCAGGCGGAATGCCGTCTAGTCTGCAAGGACCCGGACAACGTGTGTCAAGGAAAAAGTGTCTTGTCGAATCTTACAACTTCTCCGCCCATCACCTAAGTATCTTGTCGAACCTTACAGATTCTCTGCCTCATCGCCTTAAAAACAGGCCGCACACATAATAGCCTGGGAAGCGCAGTACTACGGCTGTCAGGAACCGCCTCAATGACAGGCCAAAAGCACCGAGGCAATTGAGGCCAAACGCTGCCCACCAACAGCTACTTGTCCGTGGGCCCACTCTTTTTACCCCCTATTCCATGTAGGACAAGGTACTACAAAGCTGCCCTTTCCTGAAATATCCTCACAAGGAAGGAGCCCCACAAGCGCATGTGGTCGCGTGCCCCTCCAATCCTGAACAGCAGTTCCCTCACATACGACGACACATTAGGCACCAAAAACCGGTACAAAGCACACATAAACCGGCCACCTCTGCGGTGCTCACCTGAAGCTGCCTATTGACTTGTTGTCCTTGACGAACTCGCGCTCTCCCTGCACGACGTTGATGTCCACACTAGTCTGGCCGTCCGCTGCGGTCGAGAAAACCTCGCTCTTGGAAGTGGGGAGGGTGGTGTTGCGGGGAATGATCTTGGTCGTGACTCCGCCGAGGGTCTCCAGACCCAGGGAGAGGGGCGTCACGTCGAGCAGGACAATGTCGCTGACCTCACCAGCCAACACACCAGCCTGCAAAGGAGTTGGCCACGGGGTTAGGGCCCTAACCTCTGGGTTAAGAAGGGGGACATGCATCTGAGAGGCGAAAGACAATCACTATAAGCGCTACATTTTGCGCTGAGCCCGGTTCTGAACTGGAACAGAAGAAGCTCAATCAAAAACCCGGAGTCAACTGCGAAACCACCGGGCAACAGACAACCCTTAAGCGAAGCGCCATTCAAACCTTCCCTAGACTGCACTATGCACTACAGCCCTCCACGTCTTGCAAAAACCTGTCTTGAAACAATCAGCCTTAGTAATAGTAGGTCAGTGACGCACAGAACAAACAGATCTTGCGCAGCTCTTTAATATCGCGCACCTCTTTTCAAACCCACCGCCCTGCATCAGTGACTCAGAACCACAAAGGAAGCTGTAAAGGCCATCCACAGGGCATGGCTCATACCGCACAGGATCTGATTGGCCAGCCAAAAGTAGATGTGTTTCTCCAGTCTCAAGAACTCAAGCGAATCTGACGAGCTGCCCTACCTGTACAGCGGCTCCAAGGGCCACCACCTCGTCGGGGTTCACGGACACATTAGGGTCCTTGCCCGTCAACTTCTTCACAATGTCTTGCACGGCAGGAATACGGGTGGAGCCTCCAACAAGAATGACCTCGTTGATGTCCTTGATGGACAGCTTGGCGTCCCTAAGGGCGTTCTCAACGGGGATGCGGCACCTGCGGACATATGCAACGGTCACTGCTGCCCCACTAGCCCATGCAGAATGATAACAGAAGCATCTTGGACGTGGTGGAGCCCGATGACACTCGAAGCAAGGCAACTCTGCCCCTAAAACGCGCAAACCCTAATCTGCTAGAACCCTAAAGCTCAAAAAAAAACGAGCAGAAATTCTAGGATATTTCAGACTCACCTGTCCAAAAGGTCTGAGGCAATGTCTTCGAACTTTGCCCGGCTGAGTGTGGTGTCAATGTGCTTGGGACCGTCAGCAGTGGCTGTGATGAAGGGAAGGCTGCAAGAGGGCAATGTTGATGCATGAATCCCCTGATCCCGTCGTCTCTGCCCTCATCTCTGGGCTGAGATGTGGATTCGACAACGCAGCAACAGTCGTCACTCACTTCTCCAGATCGATGCCTTGGGTCACCCAAGCAGACAAAACATAATGTGAACCCTCAAAACATGATGTGAACCCTAAAAACGAAGCGCCTCCACAATGATGCAAAACAGTGGACGTCACCATGCCTGTCCTTGCTTCTCAGTGAAGAAGGAAGGAATAAGAAGCTCACCTGATGCTAGTCTGTGAAAGAGTGGAAAGCTCCATCTTGGCCTTCTCAGCGGTTTCAGTCAATCTCTGCAGCGCTTGCTTGTCCTTGAGCAGGTCAATGCCCTCATCCTTCTTGAACTGTTCAGCGAGCCACTCGACAATCCTCCTGTCAAAGTCGTCTCCTCCCAGGTGCGTGTCACCAGATGTGGACAACACCTCAAAGACACCGTCACCAACCTCCAACACTGTACAGCAGAAGCCAAGCAAGCTTCAGAACGTTGCAGAATGACACTCAAGCTAGACGCTTTCTTGACTAGAGAACCGCTCTCAACCACTTTGAACCACATGTTGCAAATCGCCCTCGCTGCCGTCACCGTAACCATTACCATCAAAGGCGTACTATTCCGCAGCAGACTGCGGCAACCTGCAGCAACATGTCATTGCATGAAAGCGACAGCATTGCCAGGAGCACAGAGGCAACGCCATTGCTAAGAGCACAAATCTGGGTGTGATCCTCACCTGACACATCAAAAGTACCACCACCGAGATCGAACACCAGAATCGTTTCATTGCTCTTCTTCTCAAACCCATATGCGAGCGAAGCTGCAGTAGGCTCATTGATGATCCGAAGGACCTCAATGCCTGCAATCTTCCCGGCATCCTTTGTGGCTTGTCTTTGGGAGTCGTTGAAGTAGGCTGGAACTGTGACAACTGCCTTGGTGACCTTGTCGTTCAGGAACTTCCCGGCATCATCAACCAGCTTGCGCAGAACCTGCATACCCAAATTTCATTCGAATGACCACTTTTCTACTGCAGATCAATGCTATGGTAGCATAAGAAACATGTTGTCTCCCGAACACAGGCACAAGCACAATGCCTATTACGTTAGGCAAATACGGCTAACCGGTAAATTACCACTCTGTCTCCAGACTTACAACGCACTTACCTGAGCTGAAATCTCCTCAGCAGCGAACTCCTTTCCAATAGCTGGGCACTTGAGCTTCACGTTGCCATTTCCGTCTGTAATCACGGAATAGCTGATCTGCTTTGACTCCTCCGTAACCTCCGCCATCTTCCTACCAATAAAACGCTTCACTGAGAAGAAGGTGTTCTCAGGATTCACCACCCCCTGCCTCTTTGCAATCTGACCCACGAGCCTGTCTCCATTCTTCGTGTATCTGCAAAAGATTCAGTAACAACGGGTGAAATCAACACACAGTGTCATGTAGCATCTCCAGATATCAATGATACCTCTGTGCAGCAAAAAAAGGATTCCAAGACCGCTCAAGGGGATATTAGTAAGACAGCGTGATCCAAGGGCCATGAGGATTGCACTGTCAACAACAGCAAAAGGAAGCGATGCGCCAGGAACTTACGCAACAACTGAAGGTGTTGTCCTCGCCCCCTCGGCATTGGTCACAATCGTCGGCTTCCCTCCCTCCATAGCGGCAACAGCAGAGTTTGTCGTTCCAAGATCGATTCCCACAACTTTCTCTGCAACCACACGAAGGCCTGCCCCTTTGCTAGCTCTCCTGGTAGCGGCCTTGACACCCTTTTGCATGTCAGAGGCGCCTCCCATGAAGCTTTTCCTCGCACCAAGCTCGCTTCCCCCAAGGAAGGCGGCCTTGTGCTGGTACTGCTTGCGGCTGCTCATGGCGCCACTCGCCTTCCCAACTCCCTGCAGAGTGGCGGCCATGCTGGCCATGTGGACTGCGGAAGACATGGTTTTAACAAGGGCGTCCGCTGACAACAAGTTTCAGATACTCAACAGAAGGCAAAGAACGCAATATTGTGAGCGTCGAGGATGCGTTTGGTAAAGCCTGTGAGAGGATGCGACAATGCTGCCGGAGAGCAACTTTCTGATCTGCGAACTGTGAGATCTGACCGCCGCCAAAGCTTCTTCCGTGAATAACAAGACACAGCGGTGGAGGACGAGTTCAGAATCAGAGGGGAGGATAAAGTGCAGAACTGGAAGCTTCTCGATATTTCCATCCTCTATCGTTCGATATTCGACTTCACCCGTTTTGAACGGCCCGCGTTAAGCCACGCCTTTCGGCCAACATTCGGTAATGGATGGGAGCGGTCGATGTCGCTCCCTGCAAGATCGCTCGGTCGACGTGCAAGCAGCGAGGCTGACAGCAAGCGCAGGTACGACACCATGATCCAGCTTGCCAGGCCGACTCTGCAACTTCAAGTGCTTGACTCCTGCACCGCTTTCTCGAATTCCTAATTGGATCTTCCCTGAAGCTGCAGCCAGCTTGTTATTGTTATTGTCATTGTTATTGTTATTGTTATTGTTATTGCTTAGAATGTCTGGTATATAGGATCAGGAAAAGATGGGGCACATCACAACGTACGTCTGGGTCAATATGTCGTCTTCAACTTTTCATCGGCAACATGATAAACTTTCATGTCGATCACGGCGCGTGTCATGGTGACAAAAACTTCTGACTTTTGATTCATAATCGACAATCGTATACGTGCACTCGCGCCATGAGATGATCAGATCGTTCTACATTTTCCGCTTTTCTGCTTCTCTGAACGTTCAGGGGCTTCTCAACGCATGTCACCATGTGTGTATATTGCGGTGACTATTGCAAGCCAATACATGAGCATCAACAACAATCCATTGGATGCATCAATCAACGGGCATCGACATCTCTGTGTTCGAGACATTCTAAAGGTTGAACTTCCGTCGGTGCCAAGAGTCCATACGCCATGCTCTTCAGAAGAGTCTTTTCAACACTTTCAACCCCATGAACAAGGCAGTATAGCGCCCCACAGCAAGGAACCAGGTCACCGGTTGCATGATCCCTATCAACATGTGCGAACTTAGGGATGGCTTGGCCCCACTTCCACCAACATGATGCGGGCATGTAGGTTTGGAACTTCAAGGTCTTCAAAAATGCTTTGTATGTGACAGAAGGAGTTAACCATAAGAGAAGATCCCCTCAATCTGGCACCACATCAAGCGTTTGCCTACTTGTCTTCTTCGGAATCATCTTGGTGACTGGCCAGGGCGGCTCTGCTAGCGGCCCAAAGCTGCTCTTCAATAGCCAAACGCCGGACCTCCATCAGGCCCCGTTCAACTGCAACGGAATAGTGCAATTGGTTTCATGCGTGGTGTTCAACGATTCGAAACGAATGCTCCTGTGCGCATCTCGCAATCTGGTTTTGCACGATTGAGAGGTGCTCAACACCGACTTCGACCAGGAGCGCCGATTCTGATCTGCAGGACAACTGGAGGGAAGGGCACCGAAGATGTTCATGATGTAGAGAGGAGACAAATAATGAACGAGGTCCGTCTTGTTACATCAAGGATGGCATCACCATCTTACCGTCAACAGCGCTGTGCGCATCCGGATTGTGTGACGACTGGCTGATCCAATATCTTAGCCGTTCATCCGCGATGTCCTGCAGGCACAAAGCCGGACAAGGATTGAGCAACTTCGACGGTTCCCCAAACGCGCTCCCTTCCGTTATCAGAAAACCAACCTCACCGCTACAGAGAAGCTCATATCCAAGAGCGCTCGTTCAAATGAAGCGTTCGAGGAGGCAGAAAAGCTCGTTTTAGTCCACGGTTACCAGAGCACCACGAAGTTACTGGATGGAGTCCGGCAGGCTCCGCCTGATCGCAGGAGACGCAAAGTCTAAATGGATACAGGAGGGTCGACCAGGTTTCGACCACTTTTTCATCCTTCTTGCCTGTACTGGTATTCATCTCTAGCCATGTTAAAGATTACGTTTTCTAAAGAACAGCCGTAAGATGGCATGCGAGCCTTACGTTCTCGATGCCCCTTCGACGCGCACGTCGCCAAAAGTAGCAAAGCCACGCCTGCTTGAACTGCACGTCTTCCACCTCCTCTTCGCTCAGCTCTGCACAAGGAGCAGCGGCGTGGAAATTGGGTACGGCCATTCCAAGCGAAGAACTGGGAGGTAGTGAGACAGTCCGACCAAAAGGGATGAAGTAGGCGGATGCCTCTATTGGTTGTGAAGAGATAATGAAGAGTGAATGACGAGCAAATGATGCCCGACTATATCTACGTCCGTGCCTATCGGCAATTGATCTGTTCAAAACCCTCTGCAACGCTGGTCGCCGATTTCAGTGGAGGCGAGCTCCCATGGCTTTGAGGCGGACCAATATCGATGCTGATTCACATTGATGCCAGACCGTCAAAGTGATACTTCTGCCTGACCACAATGGGTACTGTCTCTCTGCAGTTAGTCTCCAAGAGCACCCCTTCACCGACCAAGTTCGACAAGACTTGCTTCGACTCGACGGTGAGAGGATGCCCATTAAAACTCAAATCTCACCCATGCTCTCCACCAGCTTCGACCCGTTCCCTGTTTGCGACGGCTCAGTGCCCCCCACGCGGACCAGGCTTGGCCGCCGGTGTTGCGCCATCGCAAGCAGGACCGCATCCTCCACCTGGGACGTCAGCGAAAGTTGCTGACGTCAGCATCCGCTATGTCGAGCCGTGTTCCAAAGGCAGGACGAAACAGCGCGGAAAGCGGCGACATCAACTATGTAACGCACGATCGGCGCGCAAACCGAGGAGATGAAGCCCTCGATATCCGAGGACGCTCTTGCACATCCAAGCACGGAGAAGCAACGTTTCAAAACGACGTAGAAGAGGCACAAATCAAATGAGAAGCGGCTGACAGGACTGCTTTGGAACGAATGTCAGGTCTGATCTATCAGAAAAGACGATCCAAGATCCGGGGTGGGAAGGGTCAATGAAACACACCTTGAGAGCTGCGAGCTCTCGCAACCCCTTCTCAACATTCAACATGCTCTCGATGCTGTTGTCGGCACCGATGTCCACCGCCAAAGAACGGTGCCGGCGGTGCTTGGACGGTTCGTCTCCTGCACAGAGAGAAGGCAAGATTCCTGTGAGAAGCAAGGGCAATCATGACGGCACTGCAGCGTTGTAAACCCAGTTTCCTGACGTTGTATAGAGCCGACCAAGCTCACAAGTCAAGACTCAAAGCCTTACCTTGACGAGCACACAGATCTCCAGAACAAGGGGCTTAGACGCGGACCTCCAAAAGAGCACGTTCCCGGACGAACCCAAGCGCTTCATGCTCCGTTCTTACTACTATGAGGAGTTCTTTTGCAACGCGAAGACTGGCTCGATTTCGTGCTAGTGTTGCAGTACTACCCGTTGCTTATCCAAAGCAGCGCACCTGCAACTTGCGACTGCGCGACGACTCCCCAGTCTCGAAGGACTCCATTGGGACCAGACTTACCACTGACTCCCGCATCGGACGTCCTCCTGCTTCTGGCTCCATTCTCGTCCGTCCCGTTGGCTGCGGCGCCCTCCGGCTCACTTTCAAGGCCCTCCTTCGCCTGTTGACCCGCCGCCAGCACAAACTGCAAAAGATGAAAGCAGCGACTCTTAAGTTTCTGACAAAAGAATTGCTGCAGCGGCGAATCCCAACTTTCAGCTGTATCTGACGACTAGAAAGAAGATACACGGTCAAGGCCGTGATGCGCTGGATAATTAAAATTGCGACCCCGCAAACACCTGAGGTTTGTGAATTTTTATCACCAACTTTCACACGCTACTCCGATTCAATGACGCCAACAGGCCAAGACGTCGAATCAGAGCGGCGGATAAATCCAATATCCGCTGACGTCAGCACCGCTTCTCACCTCCAGCGGCGCAGCCGCGAACTGGAACCAGTGCTCGTGGCGCGAGCCCGCGATCTCGGCGTGCACCCCGTGGCTGGCGGCGAGCCCCCAGTAACGCGCCAGCCAGCACCGCTTGAGCGACACCTCCTCCAGCTCTTCCTGCGTCAGTGCAATGCGGGAAACGACGCCGCGCAGGGCCTTGGCCTCCGCCTGGGCTTCCGAGGCGGTGCCGGAGGCGGAGGCGACCTCTTGGCGGGCGGTCTCGAGCTCGGCCTGGAGGGCCTGCACCTCTTCCTCACGCAGGGAGCTGTGCTGCAGAACGCAAAGACGAAGGATAACGATGAGGTGTGTGGTGTCGATGATGTAATTGCACTGGAACAGGACGAAGAGAAGAAAGATATTAAAAACTGAACTTAAAAAGATGGAAAACGAAGTAGAGGGAAGAGTTCCGACCCTTGTTTCGGGGCTCCGGTAGAGCAAACGCGTGCCTTCTTACTACCGCTGTTGGAAGCCTGCCTACCTGCAAGTACTCCTCGGATGCAAAGTGAATGTTCCGTTTTACAATCTTTGTCATGCCCACTGCCCGATTTCATAGACGGGCGGTTCATTTAAGCCCTCAGGGCGCAAGGCCACATTGCGCGGGGTGTTCAGACAAGCTTAGTTTCGACACTGACGACCTTGCACCGGGAATTCTCAGATTATGCGAAGTCTACCAGTGACGCCGATGAAACCATCTAAACACGCAGAGCCTGCCACATAAATACCGCAACCCTGCATAGTCGCCCTTACCTGCTGGCTCGCCGCCTTGAGTGCGGCTTCCTTCTGCTTAAGCTGCGCCTCCTTCCTGCTTAGCAGCCGTGCCTCTAGCGAGATGCCTTCCCCCAGAGAGGCCACCTGCTTCTCGAGCTCCCGCGCCCGCGTCTCGTTCTCCAGGGCCTGCAGGGGAACGTCCAAACGTCTTCAGGTTCACAAATCTCAAAGAATGATAAGAGCTACACATCGTTCATAAAACTACCCGAATCAACTCGTATTAGATTGACGACCAGTCTATTCGACCAATTCAAAGAACGACGTTTCAGCACAAACAAAGGTTCAAAAAGCGACTGATGACGACTCAATCAGCTTAATAAGATTAGGTCGAGGTACAGGCGAGGAAGTGGGTGTGAGGCTCTGATCAGTGCAATACGATCCTGACAATCTCTTTCATTGGCGCCTGTTGCTCTTTGGAAAAGCACTTCGAACCGCAGTCTGCCTTCTTCTCCTTGACAAAGCTTGCAAGCAACCGCTGCCAAAGGCTAAGAACGGCCAAAACCTACAAGAAGATTCTGGTCAAAGCCTTTCCCAGCAGGTACACCAAATAAGTTGTCAGTTTCAAGTCTGCAGCTCTCACCTTCTCCTCCGTCAACCTCAGCTTATCCAACAGGAACTCGTTTTCTTCTCTCAGTAGGTCGATTTCATCCGCCAGCGCAGCCTCCGCCCTCTTGTCCTGTGTCGACTGGGTTTGCTTCACCGAGTTGGCAATGGGTATCGCCGCGGCAGGCTCTGTGTTAGAGTAGCGCCGGCGTCCGTAGCTAGGCGCGCTCGTAACGCTTCCGCCTCCGTAGTTGCCACTCCCCGTACTGTAGCTCCCGCTGCCGCCGCCATCTGGATTGAGGGGAGCCGCGGATTGAGGTCCAATCGAAATGCTCAGATTTACTCCTTGATCGACGCTCACGGGCTGACCCATGAGTCTTGGTTGCAATTGTCGCTTCTTTGCGAGACGTGGTTGTTTGACGGCTTGACACACTTCTGAGGGTCCAGAATGATTCAAACGGACTGATGGGGTGCTTGTCATAACATGACCAGATTGCAGTAGTCTAGAGGCTTAACCGTTTTCAGGTCAACTTGGAATTATGATCTAGGCGAAGGAAAGTCGGTTGGAGACAGCAGCAGCCGGCTTCCAGATTAGGGCCGCTTGCTATGACGTGCTACCTAAATTTCGTCCCACCTCCATTGTCACTGCTAAGCTCCATCAAAGTTGATGCGAAAAGGTGCAGAGCCTCCAGCTAAACCAACCTGAAAGGGGCGCCGATTCGAGAGACTCCCGCGAGCCGGTCTTGACGGCGATGGGGGTGGGCCGGGAGCGCGAGCTGGTGGAAGAGGACGACTGTTGCGGCTGCGCCTGCGGCGGCGGCTGAGCACGGGCCGAGTGGAGGCGGGGACCTACAGAGGCAGACCGGATGCCGACCTGCAATAGTAAAGTTTTGGATCTCAGCACAGGCTGCTCACCACTTGGAGAGAAAAACTCAGTGACGGCTAGCAACAGACCAACCTGAGATCGATCAACAAGGCTGACAGGGATGACAACAGGACCCTCAGCCTTTTTAATGCATTCGGAAACTCCAACTCAGACTATAGCATTCCAATCTCAGTGATACAAACTTCTCGCAAACAAATAGGTGCAAAAGAGGGCAGGGGGGAGCTCTCAGCGGAACACTGGTTGAGGCTTACCAGTGGGGAAGAAGAACGGTACGCAGTCAGCGGGCTGTTAGAGGCCTGCGGTGGAGGGATGCCGTACTTGAGGCTGAACTCATCGTCCTCTTCTTCTGGGGACCCCGCTTGATTCGCCATAACAGCCGCCAGCCGCATTGCTGCCTGCTTCTTGGCATTCGCCTGTGTCTTCCTGCAGTTTAGAGCGATAGAGGTTTGTTTGAAGGGTCAAAAGAGCATGGCCAATGAAGCTGGCCACTGAGACTTCGGTAAACACAATATCTGACCCCACAAGAATCACAAGACACCTCGCAGTACAACTGGACCAATGTTCACAAGTGAAAAAAGCTGACAGGATCTAAGTAGACATACAGATTGGGGTGGTGTGCTGACCTTGCCAATGCAACCCACGTTTTTTGAAGCTCAGATGCTCAGATCAACCGCACTTTAAGAAGCAGCCAACCATCCAAATAGAGTTTCCAACCAGCCACCTTGAGCTGAACGCACAGTGATTCAAGCTCCAGACATTTGTCCTGTCGTGTTCAAAATTATGGACGACATGCCTTCTGCTTGCACTCAGCAGTGAACCGAGACGCATTTGCATTCAAAATGAGTGGGTGCAGGATTTGGGTTGCTGACCGAAATGTAAGATCGTAGAAAACCAAAGTATGCAGCCCGCAAATGGTGGATCATTCAAGACAATGTCCTCACCGAAATCCACCTGCACTGGGGGGCCGGCCCGGACTATCTGGAGCTCCCGTGCCTGGGGCTGGGCTCCCGCCCCCATAGTTACCTGCCCCGGCTGCACCCCGATTCAGCCGCTGTACTCTGTCCATGGCGGCTCACTAGGAATGTGCCTGATCCGCTATTTAGCACCTCTCAAATGCCTCACAAAGAAGTGGCTGGCAAATAAACCTTAAAGGGGCTTGCCAAGAAGAACCACGACTTGACCACAAATCCTGCTGCTCATATCGACGTTGTCGTCTCAATCAATCTTGAAGGAGTTCAATCTGAGCCGCTTGACATTGTGCAAGCCCTTGGCAGATTACTGGGACAGCAAAGGCGGGATCACGGATCTGACCCGCAGGATTCGTCCCATCCTCTCATCTGCAGGCTCGTCCAAACGCAATCAGATGTTTGCGCCATGCCGAATGCCTCATGAAAAGCCACATCCTTTAAAACTTTTAAGTTGGCGTCAATAGGTCCCAACAACAGAGCAAACGTCGCCCCGCCTCAGGCAACAAGATTCAGTGACAGAATGGTGGGCCACAGCTGGCCGAAGGGGTTTCCCTCATGCCGTATGAGCAAGGCCCGGCAGACCAAAGTCACTGTGAACTTCGAGCGTGAGAGGAGGCTCAAGGCTCATGGATACCGTACTGCTATTTGATTTCGGCACCTTCGACGCCGAAAAGTTAATTATGAAACTTTCTTTCCTTTCGGCTGAGCAATGGCTACCTGCTAAAAAAACCATTATCGAACCATTATCGCCTCAAAGAATTTTCTAAAATTTTCGGCAGGCCAAATAATTATTTATTTATTGCCGAAAATAAATAGCAGTACGGTTACATACAATAATAAGGTATACCAATTGCATGGTTACCTATCACAATTCAAGCATATCTGTACAGCGATTTCAAAGTGCCCCAGCCACAAGAAAAGGTTCCCCAAGCCACCCCAAGCTCCATGCACACGCAATTCCACTGCCAGAATCCACAGGGACTCTGCGGGGCAATCTCTTTCCACACACGATGGCTGCCTCCAGCTTGCAGCTCAGCCATGGGGCTATGTGTGCACCTTCGAGCTCGCTCCGTGAAGGGCTTTCCGGACCAGACCGTTTAGACTTGCGCGCGGAGTTGCTCCCCTTTGCGAACTTGCTTAGGCGCCATAGTCTGCGCAGGCCCGTCTGTTATACGAGGTGTGGTGGTTGCGGTCAGATCAAAGCAGTGGGGAGGAGTCGAGATGTGGAGCCGAGGGGGCTGTCTGAACCCAAGGTTGTCGCTGGAGAGATCAGAGGCGAGTCCTCTTGTCCGTTTTTCAAAAGCTTGTCATCCTTGCTTCCACCAAAGACAGTCTCAGGTTGTAGGGATTTTGCCTGTTCCTTGCAGTTGGCCTGAACTTAGCCAGGTCTTTCACTGATTGATTATGGACAAGCGCAACTCAACCATGAAGTTCTTTGGATGGGCGCTTTCATAGAGCTGCAATGAGCTGCAACGCCACCACCACCGCAGAAGCTACCTCTCAGCCTTTCCCTAATTGTTTCCTCTGACTGGCCCCCAACGATTATGACCTTCTCAAAAGGGTTGCATGGGTTTCAGTCATTCCCATCTCAGCAATTTGGCTCCCCCCCTGATGCAGATCATCCTGGCGAGTCTCAGCCAGACAAGTTGGAGCAGGGGCGCGTGCCTCCAATCAGCCGGCGCGCGGCCCTTTTGGGAGCAGTGTCTGCTGCCACACTTTGGACTGCAGCAGACAGAGCCTCATGTGCCCCCATCGATTTGTAAGCTCTTAAACTGTTCGTGACTGTTCTTGATTGTTTTGGATTGTTCGATGTCGTCAACCTTGAGTTGGACGGAAGCAATTGTGTTGGAGCACCAGTTCAATTCTCCTATCATGCTTCAAAGGAGCGTCACTGAAAGAATCCACATTCCCCACCTTTATATACATTATCTAACGCGACTTCACTATGTCTTTCTACAGAGCCAATCCTGCGTTAGACGTGTTGAAGCAAGAGATCAGGAAGGCGGTGACCTTAGCAAAAGCCCCCGGCGTGTTGCGACTAGTGTTCCACGATGGCTTCACTTTCAACCCCTCCACACAAACAGGTGAGAAGTATCGCACTTTTTATTTTTCGCCATCAAGCCTGCTTTGCAGCAACTAAAGAGATACCACTGTCATGCCTCCTCTTCAGGCGAAGTATGCAGATGTTTCAGTCCACTCTACTCATGCACAGCGGTCTTTGGTTGGTGATGCGAAGCTCAAAGATCGTTGTAACTTCTTGCAGGGGGCCCCAATGGGTCCATCATTTTTGAGTTAGACAGACCGGAGAGCGAAGGCTTGAAGCGTGCTCTTAGGGTGAGGTTCTAGGTCATACCGCGTCTAACTTCGGAAAATTTGCATACCATGGAAAGTGCTGTGGTCAAGGACATTGAATACCCCTTTGGTCTATGGTATCGTCAATGCATGCAGAATACGCACTCGTCCCGAAAATATCCAGGCTCTTATTCAATCATCCCCTGAACATTTCCAATCTTGATTCTTTTCAGATTCGTATTTACACAAGCTGTCCAGAAATATGGATCCGCAACGTTCTACGATAGCACTGGGTTCGCTCATCTTCACTCTTGTACTTCTGTACTTTGACCTTGTGGGTTTATCCTATGAATCCGGACATACAGGAACAGGTCAGAAAGAGCCAATACTTGGCTTCCAGAAATCCCTCTTTGCAGGGGGTGAACTAAACTTGACTTTGTTCCGGTGAGTCTATAAAGCGAAGCTGCAATCATTCAAAATCTTGTCTTGTTCGTACAGCCTCTTGAGAAGGTAAAAGCAACCTTGGGTGACAACGTCTCCTGGGCGGACCTCATCGTGGTTGCGGGCGCGGAGGCTGTGGCAATGACTGGGGGGCCAGTCATCCCCGTCCGATTAGGCAGGCGGGACCAAGGGTAAGTCAATGTAGCTAGAAATGTCCATCGTTCCTGATGGTTTGTGTGGAATCACGCATCCCCGTTCTTTACGAAGCCACAAAATCCCTCTGAAGCCCTAAAGTCCTCTAAAGCCACGAAGTGTTTTCGAAATCGCATTTCTGGCGTGGAGCCTTCTCAAATCCGTCATGACGTTTTAGCTATCTCGCCGTCCGTTTGGTGAATCGACTTTGTGTTTGAACGGTTCGTTGAACAGACGCAGCTTGTTCCGGGGTGGATTACAAAAATGGCCAAAGGATATGAAGGCGGGTTTGGGTACCCTCAATAAGGCTGCTGATGTCACTCGGTAATCTGAAGACCGGGTTGCGCTGTTGTTCGGGAACGCCTACTAGATTGCATGCCTGACTGCCTTTTTTGCTCCGTCCATCATATGAGACCCGTTTTGAAGCCACTCTAGTTTTTCATACTGTTCACACATACCTCGTCCCTCAATATCCTTGTTCTCGAGCTTCCTAAGACGTCTCCTTGTAATGGTTTACAGAGCCGCCGACCCGGAGGACCAAATGCCCCCCGAAACATTAGACGCGGCCACGCTCAAGTCGTTTTTCCATAGTCGAAACTACAGCACGCAGGAAATGATCGCCCTCTCGGGGGCCCACACGCTGGGGGGAAAAGGGTTCGGGGATCCCACGACGTTCGACAACTCGTACTACAAGATACTGCTGAACAAACCCTGGGAAACAGGTGCGGCTGAGGATGTCTTCTCGACAAGAGTGGCGTGCATGATGTTTTACCTCACAGAGTCTTCGACTGATTGTCGTAAACGAAGCTGCGCATGGCTTCTGGAGGAGAAGTAGCGCACCGTCTAAGTGGCACGCAGGTAGCGCAAGTTCTGACTCGCTATCGCAACGATAGCATCTGCTGTTTCGTATCGTTCGCTACATCCACTATGTTTTTCTCTTCCGCGTTTGACTGCGACGAATACGAAGGGACAGTAAGTTGCTTGGGCTTGGGGACATAAGGCCAAATGACCTCACTATGACTGGTGAAGGATTGTTTGCTCCAGCCAAATTGTTGGTGCCATTACAAAGCGCTATGATGGTGACTCGGCTGAGGATCCATAACCGGGTTGCTCGGATCCACATATTGAATCGTGAACATTTTCGAGCATATGTCAACATGAGCGAACGCAAACACTGCTTTGACGACCGAAGATTATCGTCCAGAAACTGAGAATAAAAGAAGTTGTCTTCGGGGGACGGGCGGCGATGATCGTCTAGACCTGTCGTTAGTCATAAAATAAACCGTCACGCGAAGTCCTCCAGGGCTTAATTAAGTTTCTCGCAAATAATTGCTGACCTCATCGGTCATCCGCTCCACAGATACGGCGATGACAAAAATGATCGGATTGAAGACGGACAGAGCCCTTCCAGACGACGAGGAATGCCGAAAGTGAGTGTTGATTTTTGTAGCTTGTAGCGAATTTCTCGGTCATTTGGTTGTTAGTTCCGTAACTCAAAGCATCACCCGCTCTCGTGTCTGTGCTCCTTCCAGACTGAGCTGAAGTGCGGGCACTAGACTCTCTCATGCTACTTTCTTCTCTTTGGAGCTTGTCTTTTAGCATCTTGCAGATTGTCTTGCCGGTGCTGAAGGACACGTCTTTCTTTTTGGCTTGTATCACCTCCGTTTCTCGGTGAACTTTCGTTCTGTAGGCTTCATCTTTGGTTCGGGCTCTTTCGAATTTGCTTAAGAGACTTGCGGCTCAAGGATCAGGGTTTGGAAGGAATTGAACGCAAGCATGCCACTAGTAAACTTTAAAAGGTGTTCCACTCATGGTCCTTCGGAGTCTGACTACATACAGCTCTTTCCGTGCAGGTGGGTGATCACTTACGCGGAGGATCAAAATAGATTCTTCCTGGATTTTGCATCCGCTTATGAGAAGCTAGTCACACAAGGTGTGACGTGGAAGTCATGATTGATACTTGATCTGGGCCAGTCTCGGTTTCAGAGGGCTCGTAAGGATCGCCTCAGGTTATGGGCACTGCTTTGCTTGACATGACTCGTCTCTATGCATGACATATCATTCGAGCGGCTGTTTGTCAACGGATGAATGATGATGCACAACCTTGCTCTAAATACGTCTCTTTTTCTAGCAGAATGCAGCTCTCCCAGATTGACCTTTTGAGGCCGCCTGAGATATGCCCATATGCTCTACCATACCGCCAACAAGCACATAGACTTTGGTATATCTTGAGATGGATGCCCGAGCACTAAGCTCGTGCCGGGGTTCAAGGTCGAATGACCTATGACGCGACCATGGGTGCCATCGCCGTTAATGGGACAATTCTTAAGCAGAACTTACCACCGTCGATGATGTTAATATGCGGGGCAATAGTACATGTTTCATCAGTGAGTAAAGCCCGCACATTCACTGATTGTGCTATAGTCGCCGCGCACTTACGCCCATTATGATGTCATGATCTGCTCAACCAGCATGATCCGAAGTGCATGCACATTTGAATTCTGCACATTCATAACTAGATGGAGTTGGAAATTGCAGATCAGTCACCGTCAGTGTCATCAGAATCGGACAGACGTTTTGGCATCTTCCGGAATCATGATTCCTTCAAGGCCTATTGAGACCAAAATCGGGATGTGGGGTTTCCCAGGCAAACCGCGCACCCGGGTCTCGAAATTGACATCCGACATCCGGTTTGGGCTATTCAGACCGACCGAGTCTCTGCTGACGTCGGGCACATCCCGGATGTCCAAAATTTGCAAAAATCGGCACCCGGCCCTTTGGCAGAATGCCGATTGCGAAAAGGGGTTCGGCTGACGCACGGGGGGGACGATGAAGCCTGCAGGGTCACCGCATGATGAATGATAGCAATCGCAAATCGAGGTCTCAAAACTAGCAATATGATATCATTGCAAAATCGGCCTTTTCATGGTTCAGAAAATGATATGGTGGTTTTGAGGGTTTTCTCCGCTTTTCCCGCCTGAATATACACGATCTGTTGGACCCTGCTTCGACATTCGCATAATCCGTCCGGCAGGCTCAATTGCGATGCTTCCGGAACGTCGAATAGTGGCACAACAACTATTTCCACGCGGATTTGGTGGATGTACCCCTTACAGATTGGCTGTTAGCGTTTGAGTGACGTGTCGGATATCATTTTTATATCATCGGTTTTGAAAAGGCAAAATTAGCAATAATGATATCATGCAAAACTTCAAAAGATATCATCCGGTGTGTACTAGTGCCCCGTGACCGCCACTTAGCGGTCAGCACCACCGGTAACGAATACAGTTAGTCCGCGAGTGGGCGCGCGAAGTGATACTTAGCGCGGCCGCCGCGAGTGTGTCAGAGTAAAGTGGGCTTCAGGCGTTGACGGCAGCGATGAAGACCACTAGTCCGTAGAGTCGTCCGATAGATTTGAATAGCTTAGAACCACTCGTAGCAAGATACGCTGGTTCGC